CGGAGAGAACACCATCAAATAAGAGACAAAAAACTGTTGATCATTATGATTTGACTGCTTCGCCTGAATCACCGGAGCGGTATTAAGTCCTTGATGCGGAGAATTGGTGTATGAGTTTGGGATTATTTGCGGATATTGGTGCTTTACTGTGATTAGGATTTGGTGGGTTAGGGTTAGGAAAATGGGGATTCCGATTACTTGAGTTACCGTTACTGCTTGGTACCACCTTGCACCTTGGAGCTACCTGAAAACAAATAAATTGATGTCATTCTGTTGCTATTAGATGCTTTTGGTGATAGAAGATGCATTAACAATGTCATGTTGAATGAATGGATCATTGAGGATTAGGGTGGCTTCACCTCTTGTGTCAAGGTTCTATAACAGTAGATATATTCTCGAGCGTACATTTTAGTAGGATTATAACAAGAGCGGGAATACGCCAATGTTCCTATTGAAAATGAAATGCTACAGAACCTATGCTTCTTCGCTCTTCAACCCACTAGGGAGAATTGTCTTGAAAACTTCAAGCAGTATCGAAATCCCAGTTAATCAATACTAACAACCAAGCTTGAATGTGAACACCAAATTATATTCAAGTCTCGTTCTTGACAGTAGAATATTGAATGACTGCAACTTAGCAGGACATCAAGTAGCCTCTTGTCCATTATTTGAGTAGTGAGCTAAAAAGTGTTCATATACTGTATTGGGATGCAAAAATTTCCCTCCTCTTATGTATTACCGCGAATATATGCCTTCTGTAAATCCTAGGAGATGTCTTTAAATGGATAGCGTTCTGTTCTGTTCTCTTATGACAGTATCTGACAAATGCTCGAGATTGATTGGGAAATTGGGTTTCCCTTTCTCATTCGAGTTTTTCAAATGGTCTGTGGATATCCTGGCGTTGACTGAAAATTAGACCATGTTGTCTTTGTAAACTTGGTCAAGTTTGATGCAGGTGCTCATGTAGAGGTTGTGGATTGGATCGTTGCTACTTTGAGCAAGCAAATGGATATTGATAGAATGAAGATTCCATAAGTGTCACAGCACCCTATTTAACCAAGGTATTTAGATGTGAGCTTGGTTTGACAGTGACTTGCTTCTATAACTTGGTATTGTCATATTGATACCATATTGATATTGGTAAGTACCGAATTCGTTATCGTGGATCTGAGTTACATCTAATTCAAGATTATAAAGCTTGCCTAGGAATGCACTTGTATCGATAATGGAATGAAGGAATGAGTCCATGCCTGCTTCAACTGTTTGTTGGTTTCCCAATCCTGGGGGAATACACCCAGAAAGTACAATTAACTTGTGACTTGGCACCAGAACTGGATGTATAGTATGGCCAGATATGATGTACAGTAGTGATCATCCATGGATGGTGTGTTGGCATAACCAGATATTTCTTTGGGAATGTAATGAGTGACAAGCTGGAAAACCATTGAGATCAGAAGTTGCTGATGCATGAAGTAGCCTTACAATTCTTTCCATTTGATTCTAAAAGAGAAAGGAATCCAGTGGTACAGTAGCTTCTTACTCTTGCATGTCCACTGTTTGTGCCATCTTCGAAGCAGTGAAGCAATATTATGAATCTAGCAGTTTGATATTGGATGGTGGTTACTCACATTCAATTACCCGGGGTTTACCCGACATAGATAGCAACCCTTTCACCATGGTCCGAGCTTCTAAGACATCAAACTGCGGCCGACAACACCGCTTCTTCTTCTTAATCAACCAATTTCATACTTTTGTATTCAGACTTTTACCATCAAGTAAATTGACCAAATAATCATTACAAACAGGAAAAGAATAGATCAAGTAAATCATTTCAATTCTCTCCTGAATTTTTCAATCAAGACATGCTAATATATATAGTAAACAGTCAAAATCCGGTTTCTTTCCCTTGACCAAGCGGGGTTGAAATTTATGCGGCCGCAACAAGCAAAGTACCTACCTAGTAGTTTTCTTTAGAGCCGTCTGAGCGATTTGACCGAAGATGGATCATCCGAATGGACCAATTCAAGGACCGATTCATGGGTCTATGGGACCGAATGGACCACATGAAGCTCATGGACCGAATGGCATGAGTTTTGCAACTCCAGAGCCTGTGCAGCCGAAAGCACCGCAGGCATGCGTAACATGTAAGAAACAAAAAAGAAAGTGCGATAAAGTGCTTCCACATTGTGGCCTTTGCTCCCGAATGCAACGACACTGTGATTATACTGAACAAACTCCTGCTCCTACCGCCGAGGATATTAATGCTTTACGCATGAAGTTAGTTGAACTTGAAGCTAAAGTTAATGGTGGAAATATGCATGCGCCTTATGGTTCCATGCCTAACCATGGACCTGAATATATGCAATCTCAGATACCTGCATATGCAGATCCACAAGAGAGTCCGTTTAATAATGTACATAATAAGTTTCCTGTTATGGCCGTTCTCGATAATGAAATCTTCAGGAATGAAGGGCAAGGATAAGATCTCTAAGAGTCAATATTACGTCGCTGACCAGACTTCAGTTTAACTATCCCCAGACCTTCGGTTAACCCACCAGCAGTAAGTTTTACGTCTTGTTCATATATTTTGATAACCTGTTCGAATAGTAAACTCCTTTTCTGGAGTGCCAATCCTTACCACACTCGATCATCATTGTATGCGAACCATTCGTCCTTGAAACTTGCTGATAATCACTGGATAGGAAGTCAATCAAATGTTGGCAAGCGGAGCAGCTATACCTGCTGTCATCCTAGAATATTTTGGAACCATTCACCACTGTCTTCCGATAATCTCTCATAAGAGATTAGAACGAACTCTGACTACTCCTGCCCGGGATAGTAATGCAGACTTAGTTTTGCTATTTCTTTGTATGAAGCTCATCACATCTAAACCAGTAGATGGCCAAGGATGTGGTCAAAATCCAATGTACATCGCCGCAAAGCGTTTTCTTGCATTGCTAGAAGCTTCTGGAATGGTGTCTTTGATCTTGTTGCAAGCTAGCATTCTGATTACTCTTTATGAGTATGGCCAAGCAATATATCCTGCAGCTTGGATGTCTGCTGGCTGGTGTTCTCGCTACGCAGTTTTATTGGGCATCAACGATTTTGATAACTCTCCTTCATTAGTTGGCCCTGTTGTAAGCAATACTTCCCCTTTCCAGGTTACATTTCTAATTGGGACCAATATCCAGGATACTTGGACCGAGCAAGAAGAGCGATATCGAACATGGTGGGGTGTTCTTATACTTGATAGGTGAGACTTTCACAACAATTCCAAACTTCTAAAACTCACATGACATAGAATGGTCTCGATTGGGAGCAAGAATCACCGATTAACTACCCAAGAGCCAAAAGAAGATGATCCCTTACCTGTGGATGATATTGCATGGGTGAATTCTCAATTCAGACTTCCGATTAATCTGAACTAATTGGTGTTTAGGACAGCGGCGATATGACTCAAACCGTTCAGAAGCACGTGTCTACTCCGCTCACCGAGTCTATAACACCATTTGCTCGACTTTGTCAAGGATCTGTGCTTTTGGGAAATGTTCTTCGTCACCATTACACCGAGCAGATTCCAACAGAGACAGCCCGATTTGACATTGCAAGTCAGCTCTTCGATAATTGTTCTGGTCTCGCTCGTGTAGTCAATGAAGAGGCGATGGTTTCTAGAGATTATCTCATGTTAGCAACACCACTCGCCATTATTTACAGCGCAATCATTGCTCTTCTTGACCCCTATTCTTGTCCCGCAGATACGTTATGCGGCGCAGCAACTTCCTCCGAGAAAGGTGTTATGATGAATAAAGCCATCAAAGGCCTTCAAGATTTCTCGGCTAGCGTTGTTCAATTTTCTGAGAGTGTCAATAGCCATGCGCAAACACAAGCCGATCTTGATAAGGTCAGTCCATTGATAATGGACTCTTTGTGGGCAGCAGGCCAGCACTATATGTGGGAGTGGAGAGAAAGTCGTAATCCACAATCTCAGGAGGCATTGGAAATTATCAGGAATTGTTTAAGAAGATTTCAGACTAGATGGAGAAATGCGGCAGAGTATTTAAGAATTTTTGATGGTCAGGAATTTGGACAGTTTACTTCTGCGCTAGGAAGCGGCAAGCAGATCAGTGGTAGCTGATTTGCTTATGGTCTTTTTATGCATATAGATGGGATTTGATGTAATTGGTGGTATTGTCTATTGAGGATATCTGAGGCGACTTAAGCTGGACGAATTTGGGCATAATAGGAGTTGGGAGGACATTCATGGATTGTTATAAGAGCAGACAGATGGCAGAATACTAAGTTACTTTATTCACATGGACTTCCCTTACTATTCGACTACCTATCTATAGTGTGAACTAGCTTCCTAAGCTTGATTGATATGTGGTCTAGATCGATTTCAAGTATCATTCACTCTCGAGTCATTCTATCAACCTACAAAATATCTTAGAAAAATAAGAAACTTCATTTTCGGAGTTTTATCCGATTACGATTTACAAGCTTTTCCGGTAACTCCCCCCACTCGCCCCGCTCTCGGCCCTCCTCTCCATAAGTTTTATTGCGCACTATCTATCACCTGGCCCAATTATAATCGTCCACCCTTTGTCATCTGCGTCATAACACTATCGCTTCCGCAACATCCACTATCAATCTGCAGGGGAAAATGAAAAAAACTCCACCGGAGTCCGGTCATAGACTCACACTTGATAGAAAGTCGTTATCGGCGATTCTGCTTTTCAGCTTTAAGGGTCGTATCAGGATTCATTATGACTTGTAACCAGTGCTATTACGAAGCTCTGCTGCTTAGAGGTTCCACTATGAGTCGTTCTCATGGGGTTTGTAGATTCACTATAAATGCTTTTTCTCCGATGTGGGTTTGATGTATGAGTTCTTTTGTGTTTTATACATAAACCTCTTTTCCACGCTTGAATTTTCCTTGGGAAAATTTGAAAATTCCATTAAGAATCCCCTGATACGTGGTAGCATACGAGGAAGTTTTCAGTATGCAATCGTATTTGGCATATAAACGATTCGGGAGGTTAACCGAAGCGCAATTCGAGAGGGATAGATTGAGAGCAGAGGCGCTGGAGAGGGGAAACAAAGATGTGCAATCTGGGAATTTGTCTTTGGATTTGGATAGGAATAGAAGGCATGGGTCTGGGGGGCTTCATTCTTCTTCTTCTTCTTCTTCTTCTTCTTCTTCCTCCTCATCCTCTGATAATACAGGATCCTCGTCAATGGAGCTACATACGCACGATATCGAGAAAGCAGAGAGGGGTATACCAGATGCCCCTTCACTAGATGAACAAGACGAAGAAAGCGGAAACGCGAGATCCGAAACCCTTGATCGAATAGCCACTCGAGCAACAACACACACCACGCGCAGTTTCGGAACACGATTGGGATACACATTAACGGGGATCGAAGTGCGAGAACTATCCGAGCAGTTAACGCGAACCCGGACCGCATCAAAGAGCAAATCCCAATCGAGAAAAACACCCCACGCAAACGAGGCGGGGAATGAAAAACAAGGAGAGAGAGAAACGGTCTTCGTAGTCGGGTATGAAGGCCCGAAAGATCACATGAATCCGCATAATTGGTCGCTCTGGCGACGAGGTTTCTGCACCATCATGATTGCGTCGATCGGATTTATAGTAGGTTTTGCGTCGTCGATTGATAGCGCGGCGTTGACGCAGGCGGCGGAGAATTTTGGCGTGAGTGAGGTTGCGGAGTCGTTGGCTACGGGGTTGTTTCTTGTGGGATTTGGACTGGGGGCGTTGTTTGCTGGTGAGTTTTTATCTCGTCTATACAGTTCAGTTAACCTATGAGCAACATAGGTATATGTGATTCTTGAAACTTACATGCTGATCCGTACCACAGGACCGATATCCGAAACGATCGGGAGAAACCCAGTATACATTTCCACCCTCTTCATATACATGATCTGGATCATGGCATCCGCGCTCGCCCCCAATCTCGCCACGCAACTCATTTTCCGCTTCCTCGCCGGTTTTTTCGGTTCCACCCCGCTGACCTGCGCCGGGGGATCCATATCCGATCTCTGGTCACCGATGGAGCGCGTGTATGCATTTCCCGTCTTCGCTAACGCCGCCTTCATGGGGCCGATTTTCGGGCCCATCGTCGGTGGTTTCGTCGGGCAGTCTCACCTTGTGAGTTGGAGATGGTGCGAATGGATTACGTTGATCCTTTCCGGCGCGATCCTCCTCCTCATCACACTATTTCAACCCGAAACTTTCGCTCCCATTCTGCTGAAATGGAAAGCTGCGCATCTGCGTCGTATCACGGGCGACGAGCGATTTGTCGCCGAGGTGGAAATCAGAGCCGATCCATTCAAAACGCGCTTATTAAAGGCGTTATATAGACCCTGTCTACTGATCACGCGCGAACCCATCGTCATGCTCTTCGCGCTCTATCTCACCGTCGTATATATTATCCTCTTTACGTTTCTCGACGGATACACATACATATTTGGCGAAACGTACAATTTCAGCGAAGGACTCACCGGACTCGCATTCCTCGGTATTGCCATCGGGCTCTGTTTCGCCACGTGTCTCGTCCCCCTGATCCACCACTGGGCGAAGAAAGATCTCGAAGCTCTGCGCGCCATTCACGGAGAGAAAGCGAAACTGCCCCCGGAAAAACGACTCTGGTTTGCCATGTTCGGGGCGCCATTTATCCCCATCTCGCTTTTCTGGATGGGGTGGACGAACTATCCGTCGATTTCTCCATGGTCGGGTCTTGTCGCCTCGCTCTTTTTTGGCTTTGGCATCCTGTGTATTTTCATAAGTACGTATCAGTATATCATCGATTCCTATGAAATGTACGCGGCGTCTGCATTGGCGAGTTTGACGCTGGTGAGATATGTGGCTGCGGGGGGGATGGTGGAGGTGGGAATTCCGTTCTACGAGAATTTGGGCGTGCATTGGACGCTTACGGTGTTGGGGGGGATAAGCGCGGTGATGGTGCCGGTGCCGTATTTGTTTTATGTTTATGGGGAGAAAGTGAGGGGGTGGAGTCGCTTTGCTGCGACGCATTAGATATATTTGGGTTGTGCAAGAATGGACTTGTACGACAATGTTGGGTTTGTATTTGGATTTGAACTTTCGTGCGTTGGAAAGCTTAGAGTGTTTGCAAAGGAGTGTCAGACATAAATACTAGATAGAATAGACATGAGATAATGATGATGAATTTAGAGGAACAATTTTGATTCTTCAACAGCTGTTGCTAATCACGATTCTCACCTTTTGAAACTCATTGTTGCAGAAACGGTATCTCAACGAGAAAAGTTACACTATACAATCTTCTGGACAGGTATGGAGAGAATGGTGAGAAGATGCTTTCGAATACTTGACCCCAAAATTTTTTTGATCCCTCAGACTTTTGGAAATCAGTGTTAAAATATTTGAAACCACATTAACAAAACAAGCACAAAAGGTTGAGTCTATTGAGTAGCGACAAGAATGGAAATGAAATCAAGACGCTTAGGTTGCTGCGGGTATATGTGATTTTTCATTCCAGTCTGTCTATCTATAAGTATGTCTATCTTACAGGTCTAAATTATGATAGCAGTCCTCTAGAACTTATAAACTTGTTCTTTCGAGTATCCCAACTCCTTCAAGACACCAGCCAACTCACCCTGCTCCGAAGGAGAAACCTTTGGACCAGAGATAGCCTTGTACATTCCTGGTGGTCCACAGACAAAGACCTTAACATTCTCGGTCTTAGGTTCTGGAAGAACAGTCTTCAAGAGCTCCTTGTTGATGAAACCTTTTCCGCCAGTCCATGACTTAGGTGGGTTATCCAAGACGTAGAAAGCTCTGAATCGTTGTGGGTATGTGTTCTCAAGATCTTCAAACTCGCGCTTCAATAAGATGTCTTCTTCAGTGACGTTTGCGAATACCAATGTAACTTTTGTCTTGTCGGCAGGGTTGTTGAAGATGGCTCGTGCGAGTTGGTACATTGGAGTGATTCCAGTTCCGCCAGCAATAAGAGCAATGTGGTCATGCTTGTTTGCTGACCATGGGTATTTTGGGATAGGTCCCTTGAAATCCAATCTTTGGCCGGGAACCATGGCGTGCATGTGTTCGGACATGACACCATTGGGGTATTTCTTTACAAGAAGATCGATAAATCCCTTTTCGCCTAATGAAGAGTCAGCAAAGCTTGATGAAAAGGTATTATGACCGATTCTCACCTTCATCACTAGTGGGGGTATAAGGACGGATCGCAGGCTTTTGCATCTCTGGGCCCTTATACTTGGTAAGGAGAGCGGAAGCAATCTGTAACCCGCTGACTTGGTCACTCTCAGGAAGCTCGAATCTGAATTTCTTGGTGTTGTGGTTGATATTCTCGACGCTGTCGAGCTTAAGACTAATGAAGCCTTGGTCACCACCAGTGAAAGCAGCTTTCCCAACAGCTCCTTCGACCTTAGCTTTACCTTGTCCAACAGCCTCCTTTGCCTTAGCTTCTGCGTCCTTTGCTGCATCCTTGACCTTTGCGGCATTATCTCCCTGGTTCAAAAAGTAGTATGCTCCAGCGCCTGCTGCAGCTGCGAGACCGGCGTACAAGGCAGCATTCGATCCACCGCCGCTGGAAGTTTCGGTAGCATATCGTCGGTATTGCTATATACCAATCTGTTAGCTTGTGTTGAATAATGCATTCGGATGTTGTAAGCCGTTGTGCTGTGATATCTAAGCAAGCTACCTGCTTCAAGCTTCAAGTTCCACAGCAGCGAGAAGAAAAAAAGCAGGAAGCTCTAACTTACGCTTCTCAATGGCTGAGCCGCTTTAAGGGTTTGTCTTGCAAACATGATGAAATTTGGTATTATGTAACGTCAATTGGGTATCAGAAGGTATAGAAGGACAATGCTCTGGATTCAAAGTACAAGATTACTTCTTATGTTGAAGAAATCAAGAGCTGGCCTATGGAACTTAAAGCTTTCAGCATTTTCCCACTTAGTGACGTAAATGAACCGGGAAGGCGCTAAGGATCCGTGCTTAGCAAGCTCGCGACCCGGAGAAAAAGCCGAACACTACCCCCACAAAAATAAAAAGATAATCAAAAAACAATTCTTTTCAGAAATCAAAACAAAATTGAATAACGTAGTTTAACACCGAATAGCCCATATCACCAAGTAGCCCATTTTCACTTCAATTTATATTTTCAAACTCATATTATTCAATAATAATTGAATTAATTAATTAAAACTATTAAGAATCTAATAATTTAGAATTTATTATATTATTTTAATAGATTCTTATATTATATCCTATCTTTCCATATTTATTATAATATTAATTAAAAAATGCTTTTTTATTAGAATTTCTTTTTTTTTAATATTTATTATATTAAATCTGAATATCAATTTTTTACTAAAATAATATATTAAAAGTTTTTTATTTAATAAACATTTCTTTTTAATATAATTGAATTTTTTTTATATATCAATATTTACTTAATATTTTATTTACTACCCAAAATATATAATTTTTTATATTTAAAAATATATTTTTATAAACTAATTTCTCTATATTTTTAGTTAAAATTAATATAGTTTTAAATATAAATATAAAAAAGTTTGATTGATAATAAATTATTCAAGATTTAATTAATATTAATTAAAAAAGAGTTTTAATTAAATTATAAGAGATTTAAAAAATTTATTAATTTAAATTGAAAAAAGAGAGAATAAATATATAAATTTAAATATTTAATTTTAAAAATATAGTTTTAGAATTAAATAGAATTAAATTTATTTCTTGAAATTTTGTTTTTATATTCTAAGAGATAATTAATTCTTGATATATAACTTTGAAAATTATAAAGAATTCAATCTTCGAAATATAATTAATATATATCTTAATAAATTCATTAATTTAAATATTATATAAATATTTCAAATTACTAAAATAATTAATATTAAATGATTAAATTAAATAATTTAAATATAATAATAAATTTAGATATATAATATTATTCTTTTTATAATATATTTAAAAAGCTATTAATTTATGGCTTTTATATTTATTTAATATTAATATTCGATATTTACTCTTTTTTCGATTTTTAATATATTTATTAAAGTATTTTAATTATTTTAAATCTGTTTTATTATTTGTTTATTTATTAAATATAGATTTGATAGTTTATTTTACAAAAAAACCAATTTTGATATATTAATTAAAAAGATAAATTTATTTTTAAATTATTAGAAATAAAGAAATAGTTTTATTCTTTGTATTTCCATATATTATTGCTATAGCTCATTCTCAATTGCCTAATTATATTGATTTACTTCTATTACGTTTCTTAGTGTTAGTAATAATTATTACTACATATATAATTCTTATTATAAAGCTTATTTTATTGAAATTATAGAAATTATTATTCAAAATACTATATTTCGCTTATATATTTACAATTAATCGAAATCATTCTTTAATAAGCTTAGAATCTTTATAAAAAGCTTTTTGAAAATCATAAATATAATTAAAATATATTTTTAATTTAATTCAATACTTTATAAGTTGATATACTTAAAGCTTTCTAATATATTTCGCATTTCTCAATTTAAGAATATAATTTACTATATTTTTTATATTCTTCAATTTAAATAGGAATTCTTTTAAATCTATATCGAATATATATTGAATAATTATCTCTTTTTCTAATTTTATAATTTTATAACTATTAGTTTGAATTTCTATATAAAAAGATAAATCTTTTATTTTATATTGAAGAATTATATAAGGGATATTATAGAGTATAATAGTTTTTCGAATATTTAGTTTTTTATTTTTATGAATAATTTCGATAGCAAGGAGTATACAAGCTTCTTGATTATTCGAATTTATTATGAATTGTTGATAAAATATATATTAAAAGAAAAAGATGTAAATTGAGATAAAAATGAGCTATTTGGTGATATGGGCCACTCGGTGTTAAACTACGTTATATATATTAGCTTTTTAGAATTAAATTTATCTATTTATTCATTGATAAATTATTAATCTTCAAGGCTTTATAAATATTTTGATTATTTTTTAATATTGATTTTAAATTAAAGTAATATAGTTTATTAGTGAGCGGGTTATATCAATAAATGAGTCACTTATTTTATATACAAAATTCGTCTATATATAATCATGCACTTTCTTTATTTATAGATATAATTTTCTGAAAATTTGATACAAAATATTTGAATATAAAATAATTTTAAAAATCTAATTAGTTTTAAGAAATTCGAATTTATAAAATTGTTATTATAAAAATAGTTTTTTTGTAATGAAAATCGTAACAATTTCCTTTCTTTTTTAGAAAATAATAAAATTATTTTATAAAAATTAGATTAATAGAAAATCTATATTTTAATGATTTTTTAAGATTTTTTGTTCAAGAAAATAATGATTGATTATTAAAATTTTAATATTTTAAAAAGCTTGATTTAGATGGTTTTCGAAATGACTCGTTCACTGATATAACCTGCTTACTAATAAACCACGTTATAGAAATTTAATAACCAGCTTTTTCTTTAAGTTGTAAGGCAAGCTGGAATTAGATACTCTAGGGAAGAGTGATATGTGCTTAAGTGATCAATTGTATTGAATCAGATGATTATGATTCGATGGAAGATATGACCTTACCTATCTAGGTAGGGATAATCATTTACCGGACGATATTGGATATATATTATCATATGTAGGAATCTTCAAGTTACTAGTACCGTCCAACTGTATATAAATCAATATAATAATAATTAAGAGTATTTAACTAAGAACTACGAGATCGGGATCTAGTATATTAACTTCTGTTAAAGAGAGCGCCAGGGAAGTCCCGCAGTGATGACTAATGTAACCTAAGCCGGATAATGATCGTTCTGATTGGTGATCCACAAAACATTGTAACTGAACCTCACTTCAGGACTTCACTCCAACCTCACTTCAATCTCACCTCATATCTGCGTTGTGGGCTACGGGAGAAATGAGAGTGAATACTCGAAATCAAGTGATGTGGAACAATACTCCTAAGAAGGATCATATTTGGTTTCATTCCATCTGTATTGTATTGCTTCTGTTGTCTTTTGCTCAAATCAAACATCATCATGATATGAGGCATCAACATTGTAGCTTTTTAGACGTGTCCTTATATCAGATTTGAAAATCGAATTCTTTTATGGTGTACATTGTGATTATATGCTGTTGTTTTGTTATGAAAATCTCTCCAGCTCTGAGCTACCTGAGTATCACTTCGTATCTATGTCAAAGATACTGGCAACTAGCATTCCTAGAGACCCACAAAGTTGATATACATACAAGCAGACAGGCTCGGACTAGGTACGCTACATGGAAGCATAGAGTTCTATCCTTTGGCACAGAGACTTTTCTCTCAGATCAGAGATCATAAATCACCCTAACTCCTCACAAGACACTATTACTTCTTTTGCTATTCAAATCTTCTTTCTGAGATAGTTGAAACTTTCTCTCTTCTTTACGTATATGTATACACCATCCTAGTAACTAAAGAGTATTCAATCATTGCCTTCTGTTGTCCCACACTGCAAACTTCTCTTTGATAGATCTGTAAACTCAAAACATATTCTCTAGCCCACAGCATAGCCTCAAACATAATAATGTCCCAAAAGATTACATTAGGGCGGCAGAGGTGTTGAAAGAGCAGTATTGGTTCGGCTCACGGCTTTCCTTCGGGCACGCTAATAACATGTAGACGTTCATACAACTGAGTAGGTATTGTCTCTCGAGATCTCAATTCTTTCATTTTTCTCTTTCGACCTCAATAGACCAACAAAACACCACAACCAAGTGGACACCTGTCGGTACTCAGCTCTGGTGTGGTGAAACATCCATCATTTTGCCTTTATTTGCATTTTGATTCTGCGGTGCTGAATCAAAATTCAAATTCTCTTTGATAATTTTGTTTCGAAATCCATTCATCTGCTTCAGTTTCAGTTCCATCGAGGAGGAGTTAATTTTAAAGGAAATTTTATCAAAGCTGATCATGGTGAAATACGCAGATATGATTGGTGGACTAGCCACTCCAACGCGTGATGGCAATGACCATCATCGGGGTGTGTTAACAGATGCAAGCTCTCGCATGAATAGGCAACGTACCAACAGCTTCAACGCAAAACCACAATACCAATACCTCTCACCAGAATCCTTTACCACTCCTGATTGCAAAGGGTTCAACATCGATTATTATCTCGAAACTTCTGGCAAATCATCTCAATCTCCACACAGAAGATTGAGACGCGATACTAGTACCAGAACATTACGAAGTCTTGCTCGTCACCAACGAACTCGAGGGAATTGCAATCAATACGACACAGTTCCATATACACCTTCAAAGCTTTCTAAGGTAATGATTGCTGAGTACGAGCTCGACATTTCAGACATTGACACACCTCTTACAACGATGGTATGTCGTCCCAGTCTCAATACACAGCCCCTTGATCATTTAAGTTGCCTCAAACAGACCGCGGCTTAATAAATCTCAATCTGACCACTAGTAGCCTACCAGACTGTCGCTCAATAAGAAGTTACCGCCTAAGCCAATTTTCCGCCTTGAAAATTCACCCGAGCGCCGTGGTTTGCTGGATGCCACCGATCTCAGTTCGTCCGCTTTGCAATTTCCTATCCTCCAGCCAAACCCCGTTGTTAGTAAATCCGCAATTGAAGAAAGTTCCCTCACAGACTCTGTTACTACAGTATCTCATACTCAAGATTCCGCCTTTGTCGTTACATCATCATTCGCCTACAATTCGGACACCGATTCTGTTTTTGAAGTTGGCACTGCTCAGATTGGCACTGCCTACGGCGCCTCGACAAATATACAACTTCCGACTCCTCCAGAAGACAAAAATATGGTTGTTCCAAGGGTTCGTGAGACAAATGCTAGTATGAGGCGTCTCTAATTTAACCAAGCTAAACTGGCCAATACATCTGGAACAGACGCAGCCAAAAACCACATTCTCGAAGTTCCAAGTGGCAATGATTGTCTAGCATCCCCAAGTCACATTGCTTCCATGAAGGATAACGGTAGCCCCTTGCCTAAAAACCAACGTTTTAGCAGATCCAGCTTAATCAATGATGAAAGCAGTTACCCCAAGGTCGTCGATAACGTCATTTCCCGCTTTTCAACACATCAGCAAACTCCTTTGTCCACGAATATTGAGAACAACGACGAGCCTTCGGTCAGAAGTATAATCGACGTTGGCAGCAATGATGGTTTAAATGACCTTCTAACCCGTATCATTGTTGATGGCTCTGATGGCGTGACAGGAATTGTTGCTCAAGATATTCCCAACGATGGTCTTACTGAAGAAATCACTGATAATACGCTCGAAGTTACCGACCAAGGAGACTTTGCTCAATCAACTGCCAATATCACTAATCAAGAACAAATCATCCAAGTCGCTACCAATACCGCTCTTCAAGCTATCGCCCATTGTGGTCCAATTGGCCGATCTGAGAGCCAAACAACTATAGGTAGAAAGAGAGAAATGTCGCTGGTTCCCTCCACACGCTTTGCTAGAAACGCCGATAGGATTGTTCTGGGCACATCGCCACCGTGAGTTTATTCGCACTTGATCTACTCCACCACTCTCTAATCATTATTTGCAGTTATTCTAAGGTCAGCACTCGTCTCTACATCGACGAGTTCCCTGAAGATATTGAACAATCAAACACTGTCCTCGAAAAGATAGCAAGAAAGAAAACGCCGGTAGTGAAGCCAAAGGGAATTAGCGCTGCTACCTCGAAGTTTGGTAAACGCAAGTCGTCTCTGCCAGACTCTGCAGAGAATAAAACCCTGAAGCCGACCGAACTCACTCTAGAGAAGAAACAATCGTTGACAGACCGTTTGTCAAAGCCAACTGCCTCTTCCGCAGCTCGCGCCAACGCCAATGCGAAGTCCCGCAAGTCAGAGCCTGCTTCAAAGTCGAGTGCGATGTCTTCTGTCAAGAATGCTGGAAGAGGTCTCAAGAGCCGCCTTTCCGGAATGATGCGAAACCGCCGTACTTCAGAAGTAGTTGTTATGGACCCACCTATTGCTGCTTCTATTAGTGCCCCAGAAGAAGCCTTTACTCAGCACGATATTCCTACTGTTATCGTGGAAAAGGCACCTGAAATTTCTCCTTTCGTCAATGATCGTGACGTCGGTGAGGAATTCGCGTCGTTTTACAGTGAAATAACCTACTTTACCGAGCGGGTCAATCAAGTTGGTTCAGGTGAGCATGCAACCAACAATTCAGCCGGCCGAAGCAGACTTGTTAGCTCTCAGGTCGTCGAAACTTCTGTGGAAGCTGCCGATTCAACCGCACAGATGGCCGATTACCCTACATCAGTTGCAAAGCACTCTGTGATGTCCACTGCTCAAGTTGACGCCATTTTCAGAGAGCAAGATGCATCGCCATCAGACTCTGTTATTGAGCACCGTATTCAAACTTTGTCACTGGGTGCACCTAAGCGTTCTCCTCCATCAGTTACAAATTCATATGTACAAGTTCAAGGAAATGGTCAAAATGACGTCCAAGTCACTGCTGGAAATGGTGCTTCAGACCCACCACCTAGAGAGAACGGCAATGACGGGCATGCGCATGAGCAACCCTTACCGCCATCCGTCGAGGAATCGCTTACTGAAATCAAGAATACGCTTGATTCCCTTCGACATGCTCTTACTGTTGAACCAGATCCAGCTCAACAGATCGTTCTCGCTGGCTGTGCTGTATTCCTTACACACAAAGTTCAAGCTATCAACAATAACCGCAAGCTTCGTTTGCTTCTACAGAAAGCACAGGATGTTATGGTACTTGACGCTTCAGTCGAAGCTTTAGCAGCTAAGAGAACTCTACGCCAGTTGGGACATCGAGTCGACGCTGCGATTATCAATCATAATTAAAATCGATGTAATTGCTGCCATCGCTTTTTAAGCACCTTTCAATTCATCAGATTTGTGCCTTTTTGGCTTTCTCAATCACAACAAAACTTTCCTTTTCCGGGCCACTTTATTGCAGAATATTTGTCACATCAATTCTCCGAGCATTCCTCGCCATTCTTCCCTCACTTCAACAACTGTTGTATGCATGTAAAAACGGCTCTTTTACTTCTTCTCTAGAACACTACAGTTGAATCAGAAATCTCAACAGTTCCAATTTAAGCTCAGGATGCTCTCTGTCGGATTGTTTCATACTACTTTGCTCCACTTCTTCTTCTTCGAACTTTTTTCCTACACACAGCTCAACGTACAATTTCTTTCCTTGTCTTTCTTTTGTATTTCGTTTCTTGTGATATTCGACATCTCTTCGCTGTTTTACCATTTATGCTACGATGGCGAACGGATTTCTTTTGCTTCTAGTCTTTCCTCTCCTCAACCAAATCTTGCTGTATATGTCCTCACCCGTCTTTCTGAGAGTGGGAATGTACAAAGTAGCAGAGATATGGGATGGAGGATTACTTTTCAAATTGTGGCGTTTTTTGTAACTATTGACGTTTCATCTCGAGGGTTCTTTCAAGAGAAGCCTTGGGGATGGGACTGAAGTAGTTGGTTTCTTGTTTATGGATGAATGGTTGGATGGACGGAAAGATGGGAGGATGGAATGGGGATCGACTTTTTTTTTCGCAACAACTAAAGATTCGTCTCGACGTTTTTCCTCGGAGGAATTATGCAGGAGATGAATCTTTTAGTTGGTTGCCGTTTCAGGGGTTGGGTTGCGTCTGAGTGACGGAATAAAAATTTGCTATAATGACGATGATGAATGAATTGAAATGATGGATATGATGGATATGATGGAATGAAGGAAGGAAGGACTGAATACCCACGAAAACAGTACTGATGGATGAATGGATGGATGAATATGAAACTGAATAATCGAAATCATAAACGAACCAATAATCACGATGGGGGATTTCTTAATTTTCACATTCTAGATAGCTTTTTAGATAGGTAGATAGGTAGATAGTCTCCAGCGAATGAAATGTCAATGGAGAAATTACTTTTGCTGTTTTGCAAGATGGAGAGCCGGAGGGGTGTGATCTTTCTTGATATGTAGGTACCTGCACATAGATACTATACCTGCATACCTATGTACCTTAACTCGAGATCTTTCCGCAACCTGATATCTTTTTAACTATTACCGATAGGATCACTTAGCAGGACCATGCTAGCAAACATTCACGCATACATCTGTAGCAACTGCCAAAGAATTATATCGCCAAAGAACTATTCGATATTACGCCAGCAGCACCGAGGTTTTCACTAACAACAATAAGATTTCAAATCACAGCCATACAAATCATGAATCATCAACCGTCAAACATCACATGAAAATTATCATACCAATGAAAAAACAGCGTCTTAACGATTGTTCGTCCCAAGTCAGACTACTACTTCCACTACCACTCAATTCTGTACAATAATACATCTTGCTCTAATCGCATTCAACCCAATGCCCATCACCCATCACCCATCATGTAATATGATGTCTCATGTTATGTTATGTTATTTTCCTCTTTCCCCCACTTTACATTACAAATCTGCACCTTTTCCTTCACATCTTCAGTCCTCAGGTTGAAAAATCTACTCCCCCTTCAATTTGTCTTGAGTAACGGAGAAAGCTGTCTCCAACAACTTCGCTTCTTCCTTAGTATGACTAGCCTTCAGACCAGTAGCCACACTGGCACTTGGATCTCTACCCGCGTACATGACGTGCTTTCTATCATGGTATTGAGTGTTGTTCAACAAAGTTTCAATTCTAGGTTGAGTGAAACTCCATGCACCAGCATTGAGAGGTTCTTCTTGACACCAAACAATGGTCTTGGCATTGGGGTACATGTCAAGGTTCTCCTTGAGTTGTTGCCATGGGAAAGGGTTGAGTTGTTCGATACGAGTAAAGGCAGTGTCCTTGATGTTGTTGTCGGCGCGGTATTTGCTCAAGGCGGCATAAACTTGTCCTGTGCAAAGGATAACACGCTCGATGTTCTCAGGCTCGTTAATAGATTTGCCATGTTCATCATCAGGGATAATCCAGCGGAATTGCGAGTCACCAGTGAATTCCTCAATTGGTGAACGAGCAATAGGATGACGGAGGAGAGATTTGGAGAAGAAAATGATAAGAGCTGGAGATTGTTAGTAAAGATATTTGTTTGAGGAAATGGTACAACTTACGCTTTCGGAATTGTCTGTTCATCTGTCTTCTCAAGATGTGGAACAGGTTAGATGGTGATGTCATGTAAGCAATTTGCATGTTGCAATCTTGGTGTTGACGCTCAAGCTTCTCCGGCGAAGGGAAGATACGAGGGTCTTCGTTACAGAGTTGAAGATATCTCTCCATACGACCAGAAGAATGCTCAGGTCCTTGTCCATCATAACCGTGAGGCAATGACATGACGAGACCGGATCTTTGCATCCACTTGACCTCACCAGAAGCGACAAATTGATCGATGATACATTGAGCGTTATTAGCGAAGTCACCGAATTGAGCTTCCCACATGACGAGAGCATCTGGTGAAGAGAGAGAGTAACCATATTCGAAACCAAGACAACCGAACTCACTCAATGAAGAGTTAGAAACGACGAACTTTCCTTGGTCTTTGCTGATATGTTGAAGAGGTGTGTAGGTTTTCTCGTTCTCTTGATCGTGGAAGACAGCGTGTCTTTGAGAGAAAGTACCACGCTCAACATCTTGACCAGAAACACGAACGTGGTGGCCTTCACCGACGAGAGTTCCGAATGCGAGAGCTTCGGCAGTTGACCAGTCGATGTTTTGTCCTTCACTGACAGTCTTGATACGGTTAGTCAAGATACGCTTGAGGTTACGGTGGACGTTAAAGTCCTCTGGGTATGAACCGATTGTTGTAGCAATGTGCTCCAAAGTGTGAGCTGGTACACCGGTAGGGTTGTGTGGAAGGACTTCGGTAGCCAGTTCCTTTGGCGATTTGAAACCGTTCCAAGCAGAGGTTGTCCACTCCTTTGATGTTGGTTGATAATCCTTGCTCTTAGCGAAGCTCTCCTCCAACATTCCCCAAACCCACTTTCGGTGCTCATCAATGTCCTCCTTAGTAAAGCTACCATCCTTGAGAAGTTGGTCAATGTAGATGTCAATTTGGGACTTGTGCTTTTGAATGCGCTTGTACATCAAAGGTTGTGTAAACGAAGGTTGATCGGTTTCGTTGTGACCATGCTTTCTGTAACAAACGAGATCAATGACAACATCGCGTTGGAACTCAGCACGCCAATCAGCAGCCAATTGACAAACGTAGTTGACTGCCTCAACATCATCAGCATTAACATGGAAGACAGGAGCATCAATTGACTTGGCGATGTCGGTACAGTAAGCGGTTGATCGAGCGAAACGAGGATCGGTGGTGAAACCAATTTGATTGTTGACAACCAAGTGGATGGTACCACCTGTAGAGTATGCAGGCAAAGAGTGGAAACCTAAACATTCGTATACAATACCTTGGGCAGCAAAAGCGGCATCACCATGGAGGAGAACACCCATAGCAGTCTTGTGGTCCTTTTCATCATTGTTGTAATGCTGAATAGCTCGAGTTTTGCCGAGTACGACAGGGTCTTCAGCTTCAAGATGGGAGGGATTGGCGACCAAGGAAAGTTGTACACGTTTGCCAGAAGGAGTTGGGCGCTCAAAGTTCATTCCCAAATGGTACTTAACATCACCGGAACCTTCATCCTCAGCAGCAGCGGAACCACCGAATTCACTGAAGATTGACTCGTTTGGTTTCCTGACAACGTTACTGAGAACATTCAAGCGACCACGATGAGGCATTCCAATAACAATATCTTTGACGCCAAAATCGACACTTCTGTCGATCAAAGCTTTCATACCAGGAACCAAGGTCTCACAACCTTCCAAACCGAAACGCTTGTCGTTGGGGTATTTGGTAGCCAAGAAACTTTCGAAACTTGAACTCCAGATCAAACGATCCAAGATTCTGCGCTTCTCATCAATTGAGTATTTGAAAGGCTTGTCAACCTCAATTCGAGCTCGTAACCAATCACACTGTTCTCTGTCAGGAATGTGGATATATTCGACACCATACGAGCCACAGTAGATACGTTCGCATGCCGCGATAATTTCGCGCAGGGTCATCTTCTCACGACCCGCTTTCTTGAAATGTGGCAGAATACCAGGGCCGAGGGAGTATTCGGTATCCAGATCCTTCTCCGAGAATTGATAATGTTCGAGTTGGAGTTCCTTGGGTTTGCTGTAACCAAATTCCTCCGCCTCGCGTCTAATACCGAGAGGGTCGATATCTGCTTTGTGATGTCCACGAGCTTGATATGCACGGCACAACAGCTGAACCTTCAAGTGATTTGTAACTTCTGAACCTTCTCCGCCACCCAAGCCTGGCAAGAAACTTGGTACGCCTCCGGTAGGTGTGGGAACCAAAGTTGGGGGAGGGGTGAAAGCTTGCGACATTGGCATATCACCACTCTCCATATTTCTGAAGTAAACCTGCCAGGAGATATGCACGCTCGATGGATCCTCCTTCCATTGCATATACATCTCATCAATGTAATTTGCGGTGTTTCCGGACAAAAAACTGTCATTTGAATCTGGGGCACTTGCAGTAGTCGACTCATGTCTCTTCTGAGAAATGATAGCTAGAGAACGTCGTTTCGATGAGAGGGCGGATTTCGATGTGGCATTCGAGATGGAGAGAGGTGATCTTGAGGTTGTGCACAGAGTTCTAGCAGAGCAGCCACCTCTCAAGAGCTGGCTGCTCGATTGCCTCAGTGTAGTTCGAAGCATTGCGCCTGCCAATGCGAAGAGGAAAAGACCGAACCAAGAGGTATTCTATATGATAGAGTAGGGAGGTTGAATTCAATCAAAGTTGAAAATGAGAGGCGGAGTAAGTCTTATTTTTAAGCAAAATACAAGAACTGCGTAACTTAACAGTTCGGATAGAAATGGCAGACGAGTCAAATGATCGCACCGAATCAGATTTTGGGTGGAACAAGTTGCATGGATGATTAACCTCAAAATTGAGGCAATTATCAGAAATAGCATGCCGAAAAATTCGCCCGGACGAATCAAAAGGATGAAGCGGAATTTAATAATTCCGATTCTTTCCATTTTAACCAAGGTTAATGGAAAAATAAACAAAGCTAAGCCCTTACAAGCCTAGCGCAGACTTACTCACCATAATTGATGTGTCAGCATTTTTTAATGATTCCTGGCTGGATTAACAAAGGTCATCACCTGCATTCACTGAAAGGCTGAATTCAAAGTACGGCAAGGCACCTGGGAATAACAAGACCTTCCATACGACCACACACACACATTTACTACTTGCCTGGTCATCTTATTTAGCCAGGTATATTCTATTCTATCGTATGGAATAATATAATATAGAACCACAAGGGAGACATAAGAAAATATAAGAGCAACTTGACAAAAGGAAGAATTATTAAAAAGGTCAAGAACTCTTTCAACAAATACCTTCAGTGTTCTTTCCATTTTCATTTTGTATCTTCGATTTGCCCTCTTGTATTTCTGGTGAACACGAAATTTTTCTCTGTACTATAAGAAGAACATTTCCATCTTCTTTGATTCGTATGCGAGAGCGTGCAAACTCGGGTCTTGCATGAAAGTATGGCGCCACCTCCTCAAGGGCTTGCCGTATACAAGAAGAAAGATGGGACATTGAGTATATCTAAAGACGAAAAGTCAATTCAATGGTTACCTTTGAAGGCGGATGGAGGGGGAGCTACGGTGAATATCGCGGTAGCAGATATTACAAGTAGGTTTACTCAGCTTTTGAGGTTTTATTGGCTTGATATATTAACATTTTTCAGATTTGCAGCAGACACCCGAAACCGCTGCAAAGGTAATGTTGAAAGTTTTTGAGAAGTCAGCAAATTCCCCGGAATCAGTGACCCATCTTTTCCATTTCAATTCCCCTGCAAATCCACGTGGGGAAGCGAATGCTATCAAAGATGCCTTGACAAATTTGATTAGTGCGTTGAAAGCAGCGGATTCAAATGTGCCCAAGGCAAATGGTTCTGGGCCTGCTTCGGCAGCCATGGCAATGGCGAGCGCCGTAGCATCAAAGCCTGGTTCTGGGAATGCCAGGTTTTATGATGATGCTCAGTTGAAGACGGATATCGAGTTGCAACAATCACTCATGAAGAAGGATCCAGCACTGCAGCGAACTTATATGGAAGCAAGACGGACTAAGCCAGACACGATATCAGATTCCCAATTTAACTCACAATTTTGGTCGGCACGAACAAATCTCTTGCGAGCTCATGCAGTTGAATCTAGCCAAAAAAGGGGTCCTTACAATGTCTTGTCTGCCGTGAAACCACGCCAAGTTGATGGGGAGCTGAAGATGAATATCAGTGCGGAGCAAGTCCAACTAATCTTCAGTCAACATCCACTTGTCAAGAGAGTTTACGACGAGAATGTTCCTAAACTCAATGAGATGGATTTTTGGTCAAGATTTTTCCTCAGTCGCCTATTCAAGAAACTCAAGGGGGAGCGCATTAGTGAACAAGATAGTCTTGACCCTACTTTTGATAGGTATTTGAATGCCAATACTGATGATGGACTCGATCGAAGACTCCTTTCTACTCACATTCCTCACATCATCGATCTTGAGGGCAACGAAGAGAACCAAGGGGGTATCAGAGCAGGCAATCGAAAGGACTTTACAATGCGACCTGAAGCATCAGGAAAAGTACCAATTGTTCGAACTCTCAATAGCTTGAGCGAGAAAATCATGGCTCATGTTACCCCATCTGATGTAGATCCCTCAGATCCTATCGGTATGGATGAGGAAACATTCAATTCTTTGGCATTAAGAGATCTTCAGGGCGATGCAGAAGAGAACAGAATCATGCTCAACATCAAAGAACAGAGCCAATTCCTTTCAAGCGAAAAGTCTGCTATATCCGAAGAAGCCGCTCTTTATGCAAAGCAAATACCTTCCGATGTTCTGCTTGGTTTGCAATCTGATCTCGACCCCACATTAATGGGCGCTGATTCTGCTGGCGGTTTAGACCTACGGACAGCTATCGGAGTGAATGAAGAGAGTGACAGCGAGGAAGAGGAAAAACATAAGACTCCTCATGTTGGAAGCAAAAGCAGTTTTGTGGATGCCCAAAATCAAATTTTCGAAGGGATTGCATCACGACGGACAGAAATGGATGGTTCTAGTACTACATCCGCGTTAGCGGGTTTATCGCAAAAGCTTTTTGATAGATTGACACTGACACATGCCACTACTGTCGAATTCCTTCATCATTTCTGGCTTATATTCCTTTCAGGAGATCCTGATCGAGCAGGTGAGCTTGCAAAGATGGTTGAGACACTTGATAGAGCGATGGATCGGATCAATGCTGTCGCAGCTGATGCCGAACATGAGAGAGATGAGATCATCGAGAGACAGAAAGCACATCTAAGAGATGTTTGGGAGAAGACGGGGAAGAAAATAAAGTGGAATCCTGATTCCGTTGGGGGAGGTTCAAAAGTAGTCGGAGAAATGATGCAACCTACCATCAAAACTTTAGAGAAGGCATCGAGGGAGTATCGAAAGGCGTTAGCGGCTGAAGGTGTAGAGGGAACTTGAAAATTAATCCTTTTATAGACATTCTTACCATAGCGACGGCGTTTGATTAGGAAGGAATGATACCGGCATGTGAAGGTTGATAGTTCCTTCCACGATAGGGTAAACTGCTTCGTAAAGTTTAATTTTCTATACATAAACATTTACTCGGTTTTGGTTTTATTTTTCTCTTTGTCATGACATTACTCTCCATGTATATGAGGCTTTTCTGATATTTGTCTTATTCATTCGCTACTTGCATTGCTCCTAACTTCATGCTTTTGGATATCATCCCTTACGTCATGGATATTATAACAGTTGTACACCCAAATCCTTCATCGCCAACTGGTAATAGAAATCCTCTAATGCCCAGAACAACATCACCTCAGCAGACGCCAGCACATAACATTCGGCGTAAGGGATCTTTCATCAGGGCAATCCCAGACTCTTCGGAAGACTCTCCGCCGAGCACTGACAATTCCATATTTGAAGCATTTTTGTTTTCTAAAAGCAATAGTGAGGACAGTGTACATAATAAGTCTGACACTTTACCACGCTCTAAACAAGCCGCCTGCGAAATTTCTCCATCCAATGACGAAAACATGAAACAAACATCAATCTCTACTAAACCTGAATCTACAATGACAGAGTTTCTCTATGGCCATGGTACGGTCCTAGATACCATAACGGAACAAAAGAGCTATGGTACCATGCGTAGTATCACTCGCACCAAATCAGCAGATGACATATCTACCATTCGTAGCGTCGCTCGTACGAAATCTGCAGATGGCATCTCTACTTCTCCACTTCTTGGTCATCGTGATAGTTTTACAATAGCCAAAAATCGTCCTCGACATAAGCAATCTTTCAGTCTTGACGATATATGGTGCATTAAGGATTCCTATCATGACGCATGTGCCATGACTGATCAAGCTGCCCGACGCAGATTATCCATCCGCGAAGTCTATGCCAAGCCGAAAGAACCTCTTCTTGCACCCCCAGAACGCCCCGATACACCACCAGGATGTCCCTCTTGGACTGAAGCACAAAGACCTGGTCCACGCCAGCATTTAATACCTCATCACACTCGTCTCCAAAGACTTTTAAGAATGCCATCATCAGGGCTTACACTTTCACCAACGCCTGCGAGATCTTTTTTCACCGGGAGGGTGGTATCGGCTCCAGGACTCACAAGACTTCCTCCTCGTTTCAGAGCCCCAAGAAGTGTATACTCAGCCATCGATACTCATCCATTTAGCAATGCACCAGTCCATAAAATCGACCCTGAACCACCAATCGAAGCACCGCGTCCTATCGTAGCTCCAATCTTGAGCCATCATCCTCGAACCTCTTCACTCCCCTCAGCTGCTCCATTGACATCAGCAAACCAAACTACAAAAGGCAAAGGAAAGGCTAAATCCAAATTCGTTCGTTTCACTCCCTCGGCCACTGCTCGTGACTCCGAAATGTTTAATTTACAACACGCAATTGAAGCAACTAGTTCGACAGCTCTTCACCCCTTAGTGGATCACAGTTCCAACTTTAATTCTATGCCACTAAATACACCAAGATGTCCTCATAGAAAGGGGAGAAGGCAAGCTATGGACGAAGTAAATCGGACATTCAATTCGCCAATTGATACTTATCAAGTTCCAAGAAGCAACCAGTACCTGCCTCTTCCGTCTGTGTCAACTCTTCCTAAACTGCAGGTGCCTAGCATAAGGGGTCTGCGATCGACGGGGGATTCAGCTGTTTCGCTTCATACTTCTACGTATTCTGGCGAGAGACATCCTACTTCAATTGATATAAATCATGGCCCAAATAGAGATAACGACGCAATTCGCAGAGTTTCTCTCTCCCCCTCTCTCATCAGCGATATCAATGCCGAATTCCCAAATACAAATCGAGACGACGTCGATCTTGGCATCATTGATCTGGAGCATGAAAATCGTACAAGCTCTTATACAAGATCTCCAGGTACACCATTAACATCCCGATCAGCATCAGCAAACATGAGTGCGAATACGAGCGGTTATTTCATGACGGGTGCATTGCATATCCCGCATGTAGAGAGTGGTGAACAACAAGCGCTTAATGTGCCGATTTTGACGGGAGCGAGAATGATGAATGTATGGAGTCCGGGTTTGAGAATGGGTGGCGATGGATATGGAACGGGAATTTCTGTAAGGGATTTTGGTAGTGCTGCCAGAGCAGAAGACAAAAAGGATATTGATGAGAGTCTTTGTTGGAAATGTAAAGTTATAGGCGCGAAGAGAAAATTAGAAGATTGGATAGATAGAGGATGTGATTGGGCTTGTTTTGTTTGTTGTGGAGGATGGGAGGAGGGATTGGAAGAGGAGAGGGGAGGAGTGGCGAACCAGAGAGAGGCGGAGAGGAGGAGAAGAATTGTTTTGGGGGGAATACCGGGTGTGGGTATTTAGGCGATGAGATGGGATGATAGGATTCAGAGGATTCTACGTAAACAATAAATTGGTATAGAGGAAGTCGCCGGTAGATGTGGAGATGAAAAGAGATGAATGGAGAGGTTGTGCGTTAGCAGATTGAAGGGGGAAAGAAATCAGAAGCTATTGTTTTCATGTATTTTTCTAGTTGGTACAATTACCAACTTCGACTGATTAGTATTGATACTTATCAAAAATAGCCTTGGCACTCAACCCTTCATCCATTGGAAATACATTAAACTTTTTCAATTAGTTTAGTCTAATGAGTAGTACTAAGATATTCTCATTCATTCATGCTCCATCAAAACAAAGTGGTCCCTTCGAGCCTTGGTATCAATCATAATATGCACGCGAACTCATCGACATATCAACGACCCAAATACAAAATTCCCTGTAAATAACCTTTCTTCACATTTCATGCACATTCTGTCTCGGAGCATAGTACTCCTTCATAATATTAACACCTCCGTCCATTTCTCTCGGAGGACGCTCATTAGACAACTCATTCGCAGCGGGTCCGGGTTCACGGCCAAACGATGGGGGAGAGGTATAGATTTCTTTCGAATCGATTTCTTGCTTCATATCATGTGCGCGCTTTTTTCGACGTCGCATTAAGAGAAATACAGCAGCGGCAATACCGATGATTATGACGGCGGCAGCAATACCTACACCGGCCGCAATTGCAGTCGAGTTGTTGGACTTAGGGCTGGTTAGAGGGGTTGGAGGTGAGGATGATTGGGAGTTTGAGGAAGGAGAGGAGGTGGCAGATTCTGATGTTTTTGTGGCCATTGTGGCTCCTGATTCTCTGGGAGTTGTCGTGTATGCACTGTTTGTGGAGGAATCTGTGGAGGAGGTTGTGGTGATAGATGAGGTTGTTGTTGCTGTTGGTGAAGAGCCCATCATGGAGGCGAAGACGGCATCGTCGATGTTCCATCCATTGATGTGTTCTCCGTGTACAGAGAGCGTTGAGCTAACTGTCAAGCTTGTGGGTTGGAAAATGCCGCCGTTAGCAGTTTGATATGTGAGGATCTCGCCGGCGGTGAGAGTGGACATGCATTGGGTTGGGTAGTCCCCGTATGAATGTGATGGAATTAAGACGGAAAGATTATAATCGCTATGAATGTTAGTTATTTTCTCGACCAAAAAACTTTTGTAGTATAAGCAAGAATCTTGTGATCACGTACGTAGGACAACAAAAGACTTGTGTAACACCCGCACTATGAACGGAAGTTGCAACGGTGCTATACGCTGCAGGACAATTGAACGTCGGACCCAAAGAAATCGTAACACTCGATGGTTCTAGCCACCAACTGGCCATTTCATCTGCAAAACATCGCGGAGAACCCGTGTCAAGAACAGCTTGATATAAGGGATCCCATCCAAAAACTTTCCCGGCATCTTTGCCCGAACCAACGTATACCAGACTAGAGCAAGCTGCTGTAGAAGGCCATGCTGTGGATAATGGCAACCAAGTCGTGATTGTTGCACTTGAAGTTTGGAGAATCTGATCAGGAAACTTAGTGGATACCATTTCAACAAGGAGTGTCGGAATTTCAGAGACTTCGATCAATTCATTAACGATTCATTTCGGGAGAGAGAAAAAAGGAAGAAAAAAAGAGTGAGTTCCTAACAACAGCACAAGGAGACGAAAAGCAAAATAGCAAGATATGACTAGAGGAATATGTACCGCCTGGATCAAAAAATAAGCAGAAGGATGAAAATATAACACAACCAAAAACCTTAAACTTTAAGATTAAGTTGGCATCTGCGCAGACCCATACAATACAGATCGTAGAGCTTCATTCGAACGATAACGATAGAGCTGAAGCAAAGATATTGCCGCCGAGGTTTAGTGCTTACACCGGTGTCATGGGTTGAGTAATCCTTCGCGAATCTTGAGTGGGGTCCGGCAAATCTCTCGAGACTTCTGCGATTGATTTGACCGCTGAGTCAATTGTAGAACTATATTGAATTAGCACCAAACCTCTCGAATAACCTGTTTAATAAATACAATTTTTTTGATAGATGATCGTGAGCTCTTCTGTTTTCGATGTAAGACAGAGGGTAGTAGGTAGGTATGTCGCAGTGGACGAGCGGATTTCGACCCACTTCCCCTGACTGTGCCACATGGCTACAGTGGTAATTAGCCAGACGAAGATGTTCCGATAAAAAAAGATACAAACTGCAGCTCAAACCCAGCAGGTCGCGAGAGTCCGAAGTTGGACCATTCTGTTCCAGATTCTAGCCAGAGACTAGACTATCTTTTGCCATGGAAAGGGTTTGGTTTTCATCGTGGCAGGTAATTGGGATCATAATCCAAAAATCGTTATAGTTGAATATTTATCTATAGAAGTGTATGTATGTAGGTATATATATACAGAGTCCCACCTTCTCTATTATATGCACCCTTTTAATTGTATTTTGCAGAAAATTTCATAAAATCATAAGATCGACAATTTAGATAAAGCAACCAGCCTTCTCCAACCAAGCGGCTTTGCAGTTCAAAGTATTTTTGATAATATTGTTATTGTAAAAGAGTAGAAGGTGGTAAGGTCACAGAGTACTCCTTCGCATATACCACAGAAGAGTCACTGTAAAGTAGCGCCTCTGGCCGAGGAGAGGAAAGAGAGGCTCTACATAGCGCTTCACAAGACGTAAGAGTTGAGGCCCCGGCTTATCGCACACTAAGCGAAAACACACCAAAAATCCTCATTTCTTCAACTTTTGAACTATATATTATTTTAATCAATCTTTGAATTAAATTTATTATATTAATATAATTGATTCATAACCATTCAAATTATTTCAAAAAATGATTGAATTATTTTGATATTTTCTTTGATAGAGTTGTAGGTTTTTGAAATTAGAACTTTCAAATTTTTCAAAAAAAATGACTTTTTTGTATGGGAAAGGCGTTATATATGATAAATTTCCCATACAAAAAAACAGCCGTGTACACTTTTCCCGTCGGAAAAAGGGCCGCGCATGAGGGGTAGGCATGAGTAATAAAGAATAGAATCTATAAGTTCAAGTCTCCATATTGCCTAAAATGTATCACAGGATTGATTAGAGACGGTTTGCTCTATGAGATTCAATGCAGTCAGGGAACCCGATCGTGGCTTTAGGTTTGCACGACCGTTAACAGTCTGGATAGTAAACCTGGTCTCGTAACTGGATGGAAAAGTTAGCAACTCCAATCAAATATCTTTGTAAATAACGATTCCACAAACCTGCCAACGACGCAAGTTCCATTCTCATAGTACCCTTTGGTGAGACCAAAAAGATCAAACACTGTATCGGCAGTGTCTTTGGTTTGAATGACGTTTGTTGGGTAGTGCTGATATTAATGTCAATCCTTGAAAGTAAAAATTTCTGTGAATACATACGATCCTGACAGTCAATCCATCAGTGACGTCCTGGGATGGGTCCCATCCGCCAAGACTGATAGTGGCATTGGTGCTGAAGAACTCGGAGTATCCATATGCAGTGGTGTTGCTAGCTTCTGCAGCAGTATAAAACCTAATTTAATAACCGTGAGTAGTTGTAGTAGGGCTGACTTTGGCTTAACATCTTCCAACTTACTCAGTAATCCAATTGGCGAAGGCTGGATCCATACCTGGTTGAGGAGACTAATATGTCAAATTACTACTGGTGACGGAGCTGAAGAGCAAAAAAAGCCCTCCCAGAACGCCAAGTCTGGCTGAAGGCGAATTAGATGTGAAAGATGGCATTTTCGATGTTCTGTTATACTGAAAAAGAATAAGAGTGTTTAGGCGTGGATGTTGAGCTGGTTTGAGTTTGAGCTGCGTGCTATTGGAGTTTTATAATACAAATGGGTCATTGTCACAATGCTGTAAGCTGTACCAAAGTCGCTTTGCTAAAACCTAAAGCTCATTAACAAATTGATTTCGGACTCAAATCAATAATCAAATTACCGAACTCATGGCTAACCTTGCTGAGTTGCAAGAACTGGATCAAGAAGTTACTGTGGTACGTAAGTCCGGTGCTCATCAGAGGTCAGGGCGCGGGGGGGGGGGGGGGACTGCAATTTAGGTTCGGTCAACCACGGAAGAAAACTGTTGTTTAAACTTTAATATCGAATACGTTTCGGCGGGGAGAGCACGACGAAGCCCAAAGACGTTAACCCTCCACTTTCCGGAAACCCCACTAATATCATCAATATCGATGGAACAAAGTTCGGCAAATTTCTGCCATGTTTTGAACCCCATTTTCTAGAACGCTCGTGCTTCTTATCACGAACGATTGGAAAATCTTCTTTAAGTAGTCGTTGGCTGCATTGACCAACGATCAGATTATAAAATTCTGCATGCGTAATCATTGAGGACCTTGCCACTGAAGGTAGCTATGAAAGTGTTAGAGTTCTTGTGTTTGTGGGGAAGCTGACGGTAGGTTAGGCCAGATCACGGTCCCGAGATGACTTCGATGCCCTTTTAGTTTGACGTCTTCGGTAGAACTAGTGTGACTTAAAGGGGTGAAACTTTTTTCCCCAAACATTGAAGAAAAATGACACCGATTGCAACTTCTCAGCAGATTTGAAAGCTGTATATCATTCTAAATATGCATTACATTGCTACACTAGGTTAGAATTTATGCATGATTCTATGAAATTATGAACATTCTTCAAGGAAAGATTAGTTAGCAGCGCAGCGTTGATTAATATGGGAATACAAGTGACGTCACAATCTTCTTGCTGGCAACTCGTTCGATTATAAATACCCCATCGACGGATTTCGTGTCACAGTGTTACGTTTTAACTTTCTACGGATTGTGAGCAGATCCACGATCTGAGCTTTTCGGATAATGACACCAAACACGTGACAAACGCAAGTCAATGAAAATAAAAGCTCCGTTCCAAATATCTACCTACCCATCTACCTAGGTAGGGAGCAATGTTTCGTGAATCTGCATTTAAGGTAAGTTTTACATTTGATGTTTCTCCATTTGAGAGGTGCACTAATTGTGGATTAGATCGCTACTCCGAACTTCCTGTTTCGAAACGATCAACATTCAACTAAATTTCCAGATCGGACCCTAAGTTTTAGGAAATTTCCTGTTGTCTTTCGGCCTCGAATATTCCCAAAAAATAATGACTCAGAAAATACATTTCGGACGAGAATGTCGCAGGGAGGTGACCTGGGAACTGCGGAAGTGATCTGTGCAACCTATGATCTGCGGAAAGTTATCGCAAGAGGAGTTTTCGGGGACGGCCCCAGTCAAGGTTATTTAGTAGCGACTCGGGGACCCAAATCTTGTCATTTCCTGGTCTTCTTATTATGCAACGTGTTGCCATTCAGAATTTTTTTGGCATGTGCAATTTTTACCATAATACTACAAAGAGGAATTGCCAAGGTAGCATTCTTAACAGTTCGCTCACTTGAGGCTTGAGTATGCCTTGACAGAAACTGGATTTTGCTGTCTTATAATGTTCCCCGACCTGAAGGATAGTGATTTTTCGACCTTTCTTGTATATCAGAAATGAGGTCACGACCTCCTGTTGTAGTGATTTTGTCACTGTGAATGTCATGACGTTCATGTCATCTGCTGAAGCCAACGTTTTGCAGCGTTCAAAGGGCCAAGTTGGAGAGACAGCATGAATGATGCGCAGTTCACGGTTTTAGTGGGAGTTTCAAGCAAGAAGATGGAAGAAGTGCAATGCATGATCCGAGCATGAACTTTCTTAATAAAGCTTTCAACTCGTCGCCTTATGAATATAGGTTATTTTGGAGATAGACTTTCAAGAAATACTGGGGCGTGTATGTAGTTCTTGGTAGTCATTCCAGCTGAGAGGTATGCATACATTGAAAGAGCGACATCTAGATTTATTCACCATAATTTCGCTTCTGTCACAGGTTCAATACGTAGTTATGTAGATGCCTTAGACATCCACCCTCCATATAGTCGGCGCCTCCCCGCTTCCTCTTTCACTCCTCATAGAATATCATAAATCTTCTCTAGTACCTAACCCGTACACCGTGATAGCTTCCTTCCAATCACATAGCACAGATATACGCGAGCAATGGAAGGATTTACTTGCGAGATAGAAGTCCATTATCCTCAAATCTTGCATTGGCATCGAGAAACACTCGTCACCTTGAATCATTTACTAGCTAAGCAATTAACGTGAGACAATTCCAGCCTTCCAATTTCAGCTCCAAAAGCTTCTGTTGTAACTCACAAAGTATCAAGGTTATGTACAAATTATCGAGAACTGGCTGGCTGAAGGGAATAATGTGTGCATTAGCTTGCTTACACTGCAATACTTACCGCAAGCTAAGAGCTACTAAGTCTTATGCTATGTGCATCTGCCATGTATCTGACTAGTCTGGGATTATTTTACATTTTGCTCCTAGGAAATTTCGTACTTATGCAGAGTGCTATGTAGTGAGGTTGCCATCCCCAATGCAAGGGGCTGTCTAATCAGTCGGAATTCGGCGACAAATTTTTTGTCAGATTATCATCTGTCGGGTACTTGTGCAGTGTGTCATTTATCTGCTGTCAGGGGAACGATGGTGCTCCTCCAATTCTCAGATTCACCGCGATGAAATCGGCCAATCAATGATGCACCAATGCCTCAATTTTTCGTTACATCTCCTCTCAACGTGGGGTACCCAGCAAGAGGTCTTACTATAAATGACATGTTTTCCCGTAAGCTCTTGACCTCGCTCATAAATACATATGCCCAATCCACAGTTCTCCTCGTCAATTAATCAATCTTCATTTCGAGAATAAAGCGAACCGGTACCTTCCTCATTATTTGCAAGTCGAGAGAAACAGAAATAACTGACTCACAAAATCCAGTATTAACACGAAATCAATTACACAATGCATTTCTTGAAGATTTCCAGTATCCTGACTTTTTCTTCGACGGTCTTCGCAACCCAATGTTACAACCACATCAAAGGCGTGCAGAAAGTACGATGCGTCCAAAAAGAAGAGCTATCACAATTTACCTCCAGTTATTGCTAAAAGAACTGAAGCAAGATTGTGAAAGACTAAACCGAATACAACAATCGAAGCGGAAACATAACAAAGGTTAGTAAGATAACTAATTTTGATTTTAAGGAAACCTATATAATTGTTTTTTGATAAGTTATAGAAAGATATTATAATAACTAGAGTGGTGGTCTGTGGGTGGATGAGGGAGCTTTGTTGAATATAAGTTTCTGCAAGTGGGAGGCAGAGTCGAAGAGAGTTCGATATGACTCGTTGGATGCTAGACCCGAGGCAAAGAGAGTTGCATGGGATGGGTTGATTGACGTTTCTGAATCAAAGAGAGTTAGATCTAAAGTACCGAGAGTCAGATATGAAGGACTCCGGGATGCAAAGAGAGTCGCATGGGATGGATTGGAAAAAGCGTCTGGATCTCGAGGACCCAAACAGACTAAACCTACGGCTCCACGAGTTTCGATATGAAGGACCCCGAGAAGCGAAAAGAGTAGCCTGGAACGGACTCCCGGGTGATCATGGGCACACTGTCAAAAGAGTTGGATTTCAAGGATTGAGATTCCAATCTCAAGATTTGTGAAATGGGATAGGGAGAGTGGAGATGATCTTCATTTTCATTATTGTTCTTTCCTGGTTCTCTCAATGTAGCTCTGCAGTTGTCTATGAATTTTGCAATGAAGATTCAGTGGCGTTTCTGTACATTGCGTTGTGCTTTGGTGGATGCTAATTGTCTAAAATATGCTAGTTAAGAGGCGGGATTTTTATTCATAATGGAGGTCAAGTTTTGTTTCTACTTGTGCATCAAGATTCTTGATTCAAAATCATTACTGTTTTTCGAAGATTAGCGTTGTAAAAAGTGAATTCATCTCGTTTGTGTACTCCATTCACTTTCTTGTTAGGTGCACTTACTCATCATTCCTACTCTGTTTTATGACTAGGAAAATCTCATATTCTCAGAGTCCCTAAAAGTGTAGAGAGTCAAAGAATCCAGTATAATTATAACCCTGAATATCTTATGCATGATGAAGGGACAATCAACTTCTGCAATTTTGACCGGATATGAACAAACTCTGCTGTATCAAACTCCTATAAATCTGGTATTCTCACTGGAAAAGAGACACCCTAAAATAGAAGGATTTAGAAGAAAATTGCAATATCTCTTTTGAAGAGTATTGATTCAAGTCAAAGTGTGTATAGGATGAACAGCAAACCACGAGGACGGAAACTTTCACGCATTCATTGTATACAACTCTTCGAGCATGAACCTACTTTCCACTATAGAAAATTATATGTTGATCATCAAAATGGAAGATATTTACACCAAGCAAAAGTTCCTAATGACTGAGGAACATGAAAGAGTATCGAAACCTGTGATATCTCCTCATATCCTCCAGTACCGTATCAGCTGAAAAGCAATTTCCTGCAGTTCTATCAAACGGCGGTCTCAATATTTGTTTCAAATTCATCATTTCCAGCAAAGTGACATCACGGACGACACTCCGCATCTATATCACCGCATCACCGTATCCGAAGCGAAACATTATATAACGGACGTCACACCGACACGATGTAAGGAACAACTCTCCCAGGCGGTAAGAAACAGCAGAGGATAATTTATGGATTTAGTGATATGTTTAATAGTCCATAGGAGAATCGAAGCCATACAAGACACGCAGGAATTTCCCGCAGGGATATGCAAACGAATTTGTATTGCGGGGCAAGGGGCAGGAGATGCATCTCTCGCTTTTACATTTGAGGCTGACAGAGGTGAATATGCTGAGTAGGTTTAATTTGTCGATCAGCGCATCTAGCTACGATTAAATCACCAAGCGAAAATAATCAGCTTCGTTGTGAAGTTTTCATTTCATTGCGAGTCCGATATTTCGGTGATTTTACATCGTGAACATATGGGGTAAAACTAAAAATTGTAAGACATATCCTCCGTATGTAGATCAATTTGAATATAGTCAGATATCGTATGTGATATCATCGAAGACTAACAGACATGAATGGCGTAGCTGATGGGACACCGGGATAGGTGCTGAATCCCCAAGAGCTATCATGTAAGTACCTAGCTAAATCATATTTCTTAGGGCAATCAGACCAATTGTATGTATCTGGATGGATATGCAGAGAATGTTGCCATGCTACAAATGGAAATGATAGATCGTTTTACGATTTCGAAGAGGTTGTTCAAGCAAGCTATCTGCAAGTAGCAGAAAAGCGGTTATTGCTTTGAACATCGTGTCTTACCCGCGACCAATCTCAGAGACGGAATACGCTAAAGTACAATACGTTTGCCAGCAAACAAAAACGAGATGGGGAATCTCGACTTCTAAAGCTCAATTTCGCCCCCTCAGAAACTGTGTATATAAACAATCCCTCCTAGCCCACCCCATTATAAAGAAATCCATCATCCCGCATTCCCATCTTCAAATTTCCACAGCCGCTTAAGCAAAAATTACATTTTCCCAACCTCACACAGAAACCTCCTCTCAACGAATTAAATCCTCACCATAAAGTTTATCTATCTCGGACTCCTCCTCACTGCCACCATCGCATACGCCTACGAAGACAATACTTACCAATACAAGAATCCCAACAAATCAATAACCAAGGAATATAAAGCCACACACAAGATTTAATAACAATCTCAAAGAAGATAATTGTTATTATTCTCACTGAACCAAATACTACTATGATTCCTATAATAACAATATTCAGAAGTTCAAAGATCAATACAAGGCTAAAAGAGATGACTGGTACTAGAATGAATTTTAAACTATGTAGGAAACTCTTATCTGGGTAGATGGTTTCCCAAGCTAATTTTCGATCAGTTCTCATGATATCATTTTGTGGGGGCTGAATGCGCTTGGAGCATGCTTTACTCATTTGAGCTCGATAGTCCCGGTGTTGAGGGAGAGGATGGAAGGATATCATGAAGAGTGATAAATGGATATTGCATTGGTTCGGTACTCTATACTTGTTGTTGCTGTTGTGTGCCTCGACGCTATCTAAATCTTGTTGTATATCGAAAGTCTGATCAGGTGTTATGTGAAAAGCCTGAGGAGCTTTCGACTACAATCTTTTGGCTCTCTCGCAAGTCTACAATACGTGTCTTGCCTGTGGGCTCGTTCGTTATAACTAGATCCTCAATCAAAGAAACTTATTTGCTGCATATCAAACAGAAAGGGAAAGATTCATTTTTTCCAGATGCAAATGTGAAGAATTGTGCAGTGGTTTTTTTTTAGATAAAGACATTTGGATATAAGAATATATTAATCATGACAAAGGGTTCTCTCATGATCTTGCTTAAGCGAGAAGGTTGAAGTCACGTAGAGATGAATCATATGAAGCTGTTTCAGGTATGACTTGCTACAGGATATGGTGCGAAGCATGGGCTAGGAATTGAGGGCATTCAGAGGTTGAATTTGACTGATTGTATTGAAGCTAGCTATGAAAGGAAGAGCTCTATTCGAAAAGAGCTCTTACTAGTACCAATTAGGGCTAGCTCCCCTTACACTAGCACCACGTGAACCATGCTTTTTAACAGAAGCACACAAATAAAAGATTAAGTCAATGAGATTCAAGATTCATTGCAATGCTTTCTTGAAAAGAAAGTGTTAAGAAAGAACTCATTTTCCAGCGTACTTCGGGTAACATTACGGTATATAAGCAGATCGAATGTGAAAATCTTTATTTCCATCACCAAAATTGGCATTATCTCTACCAGCAGAATTCTAACAAGGTCAAGGTCTTCTGCTCCTCAATTTCTCTTTGGACGGCGCATGGACGCGACATATTCGCTGGGTGATTTAAGCTGCGCGATATCCCTCTTCAGCTCCTGCCATTCCCATCTCATTAGTGTTTCTGTACTTGGAGGTTTACTGATATAACTTACCTCAATACGTTGATCCTGGTCAGTTTTGCCCATGTATTTGAGCTCTGGGTTGACCTCCTCGATCCTAGAATTGATTTCTTTTCTGGCTTCGTCGCCTCCCTGTTGAATTGCCAGCTGCTGTTGTTTGCGAGGGTCCGGGAGCCTGAATCGACTCTCGAGCAATTCTTTTTCCTCCTCATTCAGCTTCCTCTTGACATCTAATATTTGCTGATGAGAAGAAAGGGGAGTTAGCCATTGAATCTGATGGATTGATTATACATGAAAAAATATGAAAGATTCTGACCATCGGGACTAACCTTTTCAACAATTAGGTCCACTTGGCCTTGAACAGCCTTCTTCCATGCGTCGATCTTGCCCAACTGACTAGCAAAATCCGATCCTTTCGGTAGTCGGGTCATGAGATCGACGAGATGAAGACCATCGACCAGATGAGGGTTGTAAATGTCCTTGTACATTTTGGAAATATCTTTGAATTGCTCGAAACTAGCCCATATTTGAATTGCGCTTGTTTGCAGAAGCTGAGTAGAGTTGGCGTGGACTTTGTCAAAAACATTTGCACTAAAAGCAAATAACTACTTACAATGAGATCAAACATCAATTTATGGTTACTGATGACATCCTTAACTCTTCCTGTGAATGGTTCAATTTGGGATATCATCACCGTGTCCACTCTGGTTTTGAACGTGCGGAAAAAGATCAGCATGCGCGTAATGTGATCCTTCAACGTGACGACGTAATCTATACAATCATTCAAGACTTCCTTAATATTTTCCTGAACGATAGTCAGTAACCGGATCATTTTTATCTCCATTGAGATCTAAATGTCATTACCAGTGTCAATTTTGCTCCGGCAAGATTTTGTCCCTTGGCCGTGATCTCGCTGACGTTGGATTGCAGTTGTGCAAGGTCTTTCTTCATTTGATCGAGCGCGATCCTGGCGGTTGTGTGCCCCTCTCTCGCAGTGTCTACTAAGAAGCGATGAGCCGACACGACATGCTGACTCACACTCTGTCCGGCTACGGCAGGTGGTGATGCGAGAGCCAGCTGAACTGGGGACATAGCGGGCCGAGAGGCTTGTTTGGATGCTTTCCGGGCGACCTCAATCTTCTGGACAGCGACCAAATCTTTTCCACTGTTTTAAGCCACTCTTTGACTTGCTTGTCCGTGGGCTGCTCCCACTCCTTGCCCACCGTCTTTGCATTTTTGGCCAACTTTTCGAGGTCGTCAAGTACCTATGAATTCATTAGCAGTGCTATTATACCTTTGAAATGAGGGAAATTGTACCGGATCTACTGTATCAACTGCACTGAGCAATTTCTTCCTGTCTTGGATTTATTCTTACCACTTGACTTTTTCAAGAGATCGGTGTGCGAGTTGAGCATTCCTTTCACCATCACCAAATTCCATTTTCTCCCGTCTCTCTCTACATGCTTTTCACTATCTCCCACTCCAGTAATCAAGTTCCATTGAATACCATCTTTGTCATCGCCTTCCAAAAGACCTTGAAGTTGTTCCAGGGCCATTCTAATCAATCCAACTTGAACATAGGCTATTTCGTCCCCGACACTCCTCTTGGCCTTGGCGTCGTCCTTGTCATCGGTGTCTTTTGAGCCTGTTTTTGTTGTGTTTTAATTCGAGGTGTTGGTAGAACCTAGAGCTTCGCTGGCGGCATTGGCATAGGTGGCAGGATTTTTGGCTGCCACAAATGCCGACCCGACATTGCCCAGCGCCGTAAAAAGTCCAGTCACACTGTCAGCGAGACTTTTGTAGATGTCCATCTTTGCAAGTTCCATACTGTAAGCAAATGTTAGTGCTGGTCAAATGACATAAGAAAGAATATTCACATACCCACGAGGGAAGTTTCTCAATTCTCTGTCGAGACTTTCTTTCAATTCAGCAACTTCTGCCTTCTTGCTATCCAGCTCTAACTTCATCCGGATCTCGTGAATCTGCAGATCTAACCATATCGTGGCCGGGTGCTTCACAAGAGAGCAGCTGAAGAAATTTGATATTGCCACTTCCAAGATATTGAGGTCCAATAGTGTGTAATAAACCTGTTTTCAAAGTTATTATTACCTTCTTTATAAAACAGACAGTGACAAGTGTCAGAGCCCCGCTTTTGAGAGTTTGCAAACACATCGAATAGCTACGAGAGGAAAGCTCAACTACACGTTCAGCTGTCTTTCAAGCTTGCCCCACGGGATCTCTACCCCGCGCGGCAAGCGATTGAAGTTCAGCTCCTGATGAATATTCGAAGTCATTTTGTGGAACTAACGCATATTAGATTCTAGACCGAAGATCTTCCGTCGCGTAGCGATTTTGTGAGATTTGAGGGATGTGGAACTGAGCTCAAGATCTTGGATTTGAATCTATACGAATCTCAATTCGGTGCCGTTAGAATTATATGACGAGTCGGTTTTCCACGTTGGTTAGTTCTTCGGACAGATCCTATCGCAACACTTGTTCCCACACCTTTACGGATTCCCCACAATATATCACAAAGATCGCATACAGATACCCGAAGACACACCAATTCTCACACAGATCAACCTCATTCTCCATACTCACTGAGTGCACCATTCACCATGTCGAGGTTTCAACTACGAAGAACCTTTGCGGTTTACCAGAATCTCCTCGCATCCGCTACATTTCCGACCATCCTTTTCACAGCCACGAGAGCCGCAGCTTTGTCTGCTCGGTCATGCCAAAATAGCGGCCCATGGTATACACCAGTGAATCCCACCTGGAGACAGGATCGCTTCTACGCAATCACTCGACGGGAACCAAGGCAAGTGAGGCATATAGTAGACGTTTTGACAGTCTATCATTCAGGTCGGCAGCTTCAAAACAAAATCCAGAAATTGGAAGGTGACGCGAGAATCCATTTGAACGTTACTGCAAAGGGTAGACATGAAACTCATCCCCGCCTACGCGAGCTTGCTCGACTTAAAGATGAAGATGGCCTCGGACGCGAAGCCCCCTGAGCTATGGAGCCAAAGTCAAAATGGGGAAACCTTTGGCCAACAATTCCCAGAATCTCTACGTCGCACAGTGAAGTGGATACAAAACAATTCCAAAATACTCAAGCCTCCTCCACATAACGTGGCAGATCTGGCACAATCAGCCGTCAAGCCCTTCGAGGATGCCCGGAACTTCTGTCTTACATCGCAAAACAGTCTGGGTAGGATTCATGAGCAGGTATTAACTCAATCAGTCATATTTGATACGCAGCTAAAAAGAATAAAATCAGATCATGGACATGCAACATAATATTAGCGTTTTCAACATAGAGCTAGAACGGGCAGATAAAGTACATCCCAGAGACAAAAAGATGCTGGCGCAAAGACGTGATAACGCAATAAGCCGCCAGTTTGTCACATCAAACGAAGCCTATACAGACGCTTTGAACAGTGTAGGCAATAGTATTTCCCGTATTCCATATACAGATTAGTTTAATGGTATATATCGAATTTTTTCGAAATACATACATATATGGTACAGAATTCAATACCACTGAAAGTATTCAATATCACTTAGTTATTCAATACTATTAGCAATATACTAAAATACTAAAATCCAATATAAAATATACGTTCCTATTCGTATTAGATAACAAGTTTCCATTCCTTATTTCAAACTGAATAGGAATCCCTTATTTCTAGCCTAATTTGAATAGAAATATATATTTTATATTGGATTCTAGTATTTCAATATATTGCTAGTATTTTTCAGTATATAAATATATACAAGAGTAGTATAACCTCCTTTCTATACATACTAGCTGCAATATCAATATGCTAATACGCGCCACAGTTTCACTGTAGTATACTATTGCCTACACTGGCTCTGAATGATGCAAAGTACGCTCAAAACGCGATAAATATACTTGATCAGTATGTCCAGCCATACTTCGAGAGCGGGGAGCTCAAGAGTCTTGGAGACGAGGTTGGTCTGCTACTAGATCGCACAATCACCCAGAAAGACGTTTTGGAACGAATCTTGACAGATCACATGCGAGGAACTGCTACCATAGCCAACACCTGGTTCCGACCGGTATTCCACCATCGATTTGCCGAAAAAATCTTGGATATACTGGCTCTGGCTCCTCCATCTGAGATGATGCTTCCATACATGCGAAGCATCCTCGCCCTTCTCTCATGGCCTGGTACCTCTTTACTGACACCAGTTTCAGACAGCCTTGCGAGATGGCGAAGAAGGCCACAGTCTAACTTAAAGACACGCTAGGAGGAAATTGTAAATCTGACAGATGATTATCAGAAGCGATATCCTTATCGGGAGTCTGAGTCTGCCCTTAGGCGATATATGATCCGATTCCGCTGAAATGTTTTTATATAGATTGATACCTGTCATATGTATATACGAAGCGTAAACTTTGGAAATAGGAATAATATTGAAACAAAAGTTTAGAATCATGAAACTGGAAACTGGTACAATATTCTACGCTAGTAGTCCATAAATTATGAACACAGATCATAACAATTGCCATATTGGTACAATTGAAAAGCCTAGGGGAAGCTACCTGATACTAGTCTAGCAGGTGCATGTGATGATCGAGAGGCTCGGTCACATGATAAAGGATTCCTTTGCTATGCCCGAGGGGTGAAGGATGAAGACAATGCAACGACGCCAAGGTAATACGTAGAGAAGCGACTAACTAACTCCATTGATGCTATAACAAGATGCGTAAAATCGACGATAAATCGTTGCTCCTACAAGCGAGTAGTAACCCGTCTGTTACGAATGTTTGTATTTGAGCCACGTGGTAGTGTTCAGAATCATAGGAATACTAGGAGTCAGAGACTAGTAATATTATCACAGGTTTATTGGTGACAACATCCTCAGAGGGAATCAACCGCGATAGTCGGTAAGCTCAACGAGTAGCCATAAGATTTGGGCACGAAGCTCCATGTGCCCGAGGAAATATATGCTGTATGCATAGACGTTCGTTCTCTGTTGCTCATTGTTACTCATCGCTGAGCATTGTTGAGCGTAGATGAGACACAAAGACACTAGCTTTCCTCCAGTAGATGGGTAAGCTAATTACTTGTAGCCTTCGATATTATGGGTTTCCCTACTAGCACACTTACCATCACATTTTTCGATCCACACCTTAGAAACGTCCAATTTATTGCGTTCCAATGAGCTGATTCAATACCACGTGATTCAGCGCACCGCATGAAATATGCCAAGCCGGCTTCGGCATGCCGACCTATGCAGGCCTTGCCTATTGCGATATGGGGCTCTTCGTTAGGATAACATTTTTGTCAAAATGACAAGCATTATTTTGTTTGTGAAATAATAATTAAAAGGCTGAGATTGATGGTTCGAACATCAAAGCCGCACTGTATGCGAGAGCCCGACCGGCCGCTAGTAATGTATGATACCGAGACAGAGAAAGGAGGCGCAGTGAGTACATTAGTTATTGCGAGAGTGAGTGGAGTAGACTGTTGATACCCGTACCTTGAAGTGAGGTGGTGCTGTGGCCAGATAGTAACAAGCCCGTGAGATAGATTTCCGTGTTACCAGCATATCGGTTGTGTATTGGAGTTTAGAAGTTGAGTGAGATGAATCGGCTTCGACTGTCCTGTTGGGGTAACTAGGTATTGAAAAACACATCTCATGTGGATGTTATTGGTTTGAATCCTGCAAAGAGATGAGGTGTTGTAAGTAACCTCAATATTTGTCAAGACTGCGCCTCCATATTAAAAAAAGAAGACAGCATCCCGATCTTGCAAACGGATAGTGAGACTCAATTAGGAAGCTGAAATTCGTTTGTTGAATGGTTTAGGCAGATGAAATGTGGGTACAGCAACTAACCAAAAGTGCCAGGTAAATCCGCAAAGATGGGATCGAGAAATTCTTGGCAGGGCTGAGCTTTGAGATCTTCAGGAATGGAATCTCAAGAGACATGGATTATAACGAAAACGAGAACAAAATGTTATGAATGTTTTTTGGGAAAGGAGACAAGGCGGATTATATCTTACGTAAAGTAAAGATGGCGAGGATGGATAACATGGCACAGCTTCTTTTCACGAGGTAGATCAATGACAAATGGAGGAAACTTCTAGAAGGTCTGGTGGACGATAAGCCATGTGGTTGAAGCTACTCACCTAGGTAGTCAGAAGATTTCGAATTCGGATTCGAGTTGAGTCAATTGAGATCGGAATGATGCCGGTTGTTGTTCGAACGTCGGATGCTTCTGTGATAGGGTGGGATGGTATTTGTATTTCGGTTGAGGGAATTGCTAGATATCATCTCTTTCGCCTCCTTCAAGGTGTTATGAGAACGGATGTTGGAGTTGCCCGTGTAAATGTATATTAGGTATGTATGTTGCCTGCTGCTTGCTTACACGACGTACGACGTAGAGACGACCAAAGAGAATGGGAGAATTTGTATCTTGCATCGCGAATCATGAATCAGGAATCATAAATGGTGAATGCCGTATACAATAATGTTGTCGACCGAGCAGATAAGTGTAAGACGGATGAATCTTGTTCTGCAATCGATGCACAATGTAATATGATGTAAGGTTAATCGATGTGGTCCTACGATGTGAGGTTATCATAAATCCCGCTTTGCCGGGCGCAACGCTTCAAAGGGTTCAAGATTCCCTGCCGCCACAGGGATGATTCAACCTTCTTAGTGGCTTTGCCTCTGTTTGGAGTGATGTAGTGACAAACAAGCTTTTCCGACTTCACAAGGTTTATTATTCTTTTCACGAGGGACGAATGAGTGAAGGCGCAGTAAAGAAGAAGAAAAGATTGGGAGTATCAGACATGAAAATGAGGAAAGAAAAGAGAAGAAAAGATAATGAGGCATTTTCTTGGATGCTATGATACCTAGTCATCATAATATCATAGGTGAGAGAGAGGATTGGAAAGAGAGTACTACTCTATCATATGTATAATATGAGGATACTAGCATCAGGAGTCAAGGCATCATCTATCCAGGTATTTAGATACTGCAGGTGGGTACAGATTCAAAACAGAACATTCGCATCCATATCGTTATCTTTTGAGTCTTTTGAGCATTTACAATATTGTATTGATAATTTCGAAGCTCTCCTTCAATTATTGTTATTATTTCATTCTTCACTCTTCACTCTTCACTTTTTATTCTTTATTCTTTTATTTTTATTTTTTATTTTTTATTCTTCACTCTTTACTCTTTACTCTTTACTCTTTACTCTTTACTCTTCACTCTTCACTCTCATCACTCTTCAAATCTCCTCTTGCTGATGATTACCTAAAAGATCAACCTTGCGACCCACTTATTTAGCAACTATCCTCCGGACAGCCCCACCAGCCCATTCCTTCCCCGCAAAAAGGTCCAAGCATTCAGTCAAAAAGCTTCCGCCTTCCATCGTGCCTACCAATTGGGGCGGTTACCTTGCAGTTGATCACTGGCTGCAATAATCTACATAATCAATCCAAACACCCACCTCGGATTTATTTTCATACATAGTTGTCGTACCACTTTATAAAAGATCAACTTATTCCCACTCACATATCACAATACATATCACAACTTCTCCCTTACATTCTTCAATTTGAATACTTTACTCTTATCGATACTCTCTCAAAAACTCTACCAATCCTCAAACTCTCAAATTCTCAAAACCTCAAAAATGTCTTCAAGCTTTGATGGCAAACAAGCTACGAGCGATGATGTTCACAAACCATTCTCATCCACCTCGGCCGCTGGTAATTCATCAGCTCAACATAATGGATATAATCATTCTCGCAGTACAGGAGCTGCGCATTCCGAAGGCCCTTTGATTAACGTTCAACCACCAAGAAGAGAGGATCTTCAACCTTCCTATGCCCAAGTTTTACAAGGCGATGATGATACAAGTACCAACGGATGGTATGGAAGCATGAGTAAGTTTGAGACCTTTTCAGATTATTGCGCAATTTAGCAGATCAAGACTAACGATTGCTCACACATAGCTAATGCTCTCGGTTCATGTATTGGTGCTTGCGGTGCTGTTCCTTGTTGTATTCTCTGCCCCAATCCATATAAGGAAGTGTCCCAGGGTAATGTTGGTCTGGTTACCAAATTTGGTCGCTTCTATCGTGCAGTCGATCCTGGTTTGGTCAAGATTAACCCGCTCAGCGAACGTCTGATCCAAGTCGATGTTAAGATTCAGATTGTTGGTATGTTTAATTCCTATTATTTTACGAAATTCCATTCTCCGAGAATGTGCCATTAACTTTTATCTTAAAGAGGTTCCTCAACAAGTCTGCATGACCAAAGACAACGTTACCTTACATTTAACCTCTGTCATCTATTACCATATTACTTCTCCTCACAAGGCTGCATTCGGAATTTCAAATGTGCGACAAGCTTTGATTGAACGTACACAAACTACTCTTCGCCATGTTGTTGGTGCTCGTGTTTTACAAGATGTCATCGAGCGTCGGGAAGAAGTTGCGCAATCCATCGAAGAAATTATTGAGGATGTTGCATCAGGATGGGGTGTCCAGGTTGAGAGCATGCTCATTAAGGATATGATCTTCAGCAATGAACTTCAAGACTCTCTTTCCATGGCCGCACAATCTAAGCGTATTGGAGAATCCAAGGTCATTGCTGCTCGTGCTGAGGTTGAATCCGCTAAGCTCATGCGTCAAGCCGCCGATATCTTATCCAGTGCTCCAGCCATGCAAATCAGATATCTCGAGGCAATGCAAGCCATGGCCAAATCCGCCAATAGCAAGGTTATCTTCCTACCGAGTGCATCAACTATCGGAAGTCAAATGGCAAATGCTTTAGGAGAAGGCTCAGGAGATCATGCAGGTGCTTCAACCAGCAGAAATGATACTGGTGACTTTGGAGGTCAGGATTCCGGTTTACAAAGGGCTATCAATGCCCACGTCGTTGAACATATCTAAATGAAGATTTTCACTAACGCACAAATTGCTTTTGCAGCTTGGTCTACTTGAACATCACTGCAATTTGTTTCCAAATAGTCAGTTCTCTGTTCACGATTCTTATCGGAAGCGACAGTTCTCAGCACTGTGCTTTACGAACTCTTAATTCTTTTTGTGCGTTTGGGATTTAATGAGTGTGCGATGGAGGAAAGTAGGAGATGAGTAGTCTCCAATAATGGCAGGATGAAATGCGGATACCAATATGGCTTCGGCTTTTGGGTACGATGATATAATGCGATACCACGGGTTTGATTGTTTCATTGTTTCGAGATTTGAGATTTGGTAGGAATACCCCTCGGTCGTTTACAGTAGAAGTGTGCAATTAGTCTTTTCTTTCTTACATACCTTCTTAGTTTATAGCTAATGATCATCTCAACTTTTTGAATGGGTATATGTATGAGAGTTCTACGAGTGTTGTGTTTTTGTGAAGTGATAGGAGATATGTGATTGGTGCGGTATAGGTAGGCGTGGTATAGAAGTTGGTACCAGAGTTTGGAATTGAGCGATGAATGTAAAGGATAATCAGGGTGCTTGAGAAATAAACAATGGGGAGGATAGAAAATTAGATGGGGGAGTGGAGTGGGGCGGGATGGAGAGTGCATGATAGATAAAGATTAGATCGATGGATGTTGTATACACATATATGTATGTTATATATATGTACCTAGGTAGGTAAATTTTTATTGGGATCGTGATATAGTTTGGAGTTGGGAGGTGCGAGTTGGGAGGTGAGGGGTGAGAAACCGGGATTGGTAGGTAGTTTTGGATTTTATGGGTGAAATGGGGTTGGATTTGGTTGGGTTTGATTGGGTCTAGGGTGAATAGGGGAAGAGATGGTGAGAGATGGGGGAGAGGAGAGGTAGATGAGATCTTTTTCTATATCTCATTCTAACTCATTCTTTTCTTTTTCCCTTTTCTTTTTTTTCTTTTCTTATTTGGTCTGTGTGGTGAGTTGGTTCTAGAGGGGAGGAGAGGGGATGAATGGATAGATGATGGTAGGAAGGTAGGAAGAGGGAGAGGGGGGGGGTCGTGGCTGAATTGGTAGGATAGGATGGTGAGTTGATTAGGTGAGGTGGTGAAGTAAAAGGAAGAAAGAATGGGCAAGACGAGGATAGCGATATATAGCAGCTATCTACCTATTAGGTCTATAGATAGATTATAATTTTTGATTCCTAAGATCGATACATTTCTTGAGGAGAGGCTTTGGAGATTGTCATCGGCGGCGGATTTGGTGTGGGTTAGGTAGGGTAAGGTGTAGAGGTGTGGATAGATGGATAGATGGATAAATGAATAGATGGAGATATTATGCTGAGTTTTGGAGATTTGAAAGAGAATGTGGTTGTGTTGTGTCGAGAAGGGAGATGGATGGATGGATAGGTTGGTTGGTGAGGATAGGTGGTGATTACCTACCTGGGTGGATGATATCCCTGGTGAAGATATTTGGATTTGGAGTTGCTCTCGAATTCCGGATCCGGGATGCATGGTAGGATAAATCGAAATGCGATGCTGAATCGTAGAGATTGGAGAGTCGAAGTGAAGATTGTAGCTTGGAAGAGAATTTGTTCATGTTATATGGAGGGGGAAGACGAACAGATGAATGAATGAATGAGTTGGTGAATATGATATGTGGTAGTTGTTGTCTGAATGGATGATGTCTCTTGAGGAAATGTTTGGAATGGGATTTGAGAGTTGAGATGTGGGATTGGTATGGTGTATTAAGGTGTAGATAGAATCCGATTGATGGATGAATGAATGAGTTGGTAGTGCATAAAGGTATGCGATGCTGATTTTTCTTGAGTGGGTGTGTTGAAGAGATTGAAGAGATTGAGGATGTCGAAGAAGTCAAGTACTGTACTTCAATACTTCGAAACGAAAAAAAGATTTTCGTCCCCAAGATGACTAGCGAGGTACTTGGGTTCCTTAATACTACTATCCATTCACGTGACGTGACTATAGCAAACGGATGGATCATCGATATCCTTATATCTGTCCCCTTCTAGCAGTTTCCGCGTATCAAACTCATAAAAATGAAACATTTATGGCGAGAACAATATTTTGTGGATGAAGAAAATGGCAATGAAATTGTAATAGCAAGGGGAAATATGTACATCTTATATCTTAAAGATTCGAGAATTGGATAGTGAGGGTTGAAGTACAGAGCCGAAAGCATCTGGTTGGATTGAGAGAAACACTAGATATGTTGAGTCATCTGGATATGAAAGATCGATATCTAGCATCGCAAATCGTGCAACCCAAATATTTACTTAAATATCTAGCCAGCTGTCAAATTCCTTGGCGCACGAGTAAACGAGTGAGTGAGATAATTTCGTGATATCGATCATGTTGATCAAGCCTGGAGAAAATATACTCACCCCCATAATTTCCCCCGAGCAACGAAATGGATTAGATAGATGTACTCGTTTCATTTCTGAGACAGATAAATGTCAATTGTGTTCTTAGCGTCTTTCGTTCATGAAATGAAGAAAAAAATTGGTTGATCGCACCTAGTGTACATCTAGTTTCGCGCTAACGAAACGTGAGGTTCCAATGCAGCGACGTCGGTTTTTTTGTGTATAAATATACTGTGGCATAGATGAACTGTGCAGTTATTATTTTTATGATATAATTTACCGTTCAAGAGAATGGAATATCTATGATTGCCTTTTGATGCCCGTTCGTATGAATATCTTTTAGGGAAAATTGGTCAGGGAATAGGGGGGAAGTTACCGGGGAAATTTAAGGTGGTAGGCGGGGAAGTGTGGGGAAGAAGTTGTGAGTACTGTACGATGCGATGTCGTAACGATATCGATAGGGATGGGATGGTATTGTGCTTATAGTATGAGGGAGAGGAGTATGTAAAGGGTGGGAGAATAGGAGTTATCGTACTTCATCACCCTGTCTGCTCGCCGATTAATATCTTCAGCTCTTTTTCACGAAGGAAAGATTATTATGGGGTTGAAGCGGCGAGAGATTACCTCGCTAGATCCGCAATAGCAATAGGGGGAGTATATGGAATTTGGAATTCGGACCTCAGAAATGGTATACCCAGATAGATAGGTAAATGCGAGATAACGATGACGGGGTTAAAGGATGAGTATAATGATTTTCTATTATGGAATTCGTTTTTGCGTACCTAGATACTCTTTAGCTAATGATTTCAAATACAAGACGTATTTTGAGAGAATAGAGTTATATATATTTCGTTGATGAGGATTTCGGACCTAGAACCTTCACAATGATAAATTAAAGCGCTTCAGTTATGGATGGGATAATGGTATATTTGGAATACAATACCTTTATTTGTATTCCCTCTACTAAACTATAGAGCATATCGTACCATAGCCCAGCTATGGATGGGATAAAGGTTGTCGAAAAGGAAAGGCTAGCGCTCTGTTAATCAATCCTATCACAACCCCAGTTCTACCTCTATCGCCTCTATCCTCACCTTTTTTTTACCGTTGAATCCTATACTCTCCATCGAATCGATAAAATTCCCACGTATCCAAGATCAAGATATCATCAGGCTGCGCGTTGAATACCCGCTTCACATATAACGGGGCTACAAACAATCTGCTCCCAAGTTTAAATATCGAAAAGTCTAAGCAAATAATCTACAGTTGACTCTTCAGCTCTATTAGTGGTCCAAGGTTGCATTTTCACTAACTTCACACTAGTTTATGTCAATTTTACGCAAGGATTAGTCTGCATAGCAAAGAGTGCCTCTGATAGGTTACTGCCTCCTTACCCGTAAACAACAATACTTCTTGAGCTGGTTAAGATGTATTTTCTAAAACGCTAGTCAAAAGAACCTTCTTTGTCCAAATCGACGAAGCTGTGCTTGGTTCGCTTGGGGGAAAGGGGGGATTTATGAAGGTGTGGTTGTGAGTATATCTATCCAGTCCTATTTTCTTGATCAAGTAATAAATTTAATATTTCATATTATTTCATTGCAGATTCGAGCACCTCGGTGGTTATAATTTTAGGATGGTTAATCTTGGTATGTCGTGGATCGTTATATTGCCATCTGGTAATTTTGAGGCACTGGGGGATCCTTTTCGATTGCGCTGGAGATGATATCGTGGGATTGATGCGGTAAGGTAGATTTGATTAGGTAGGTATATAGCACAAGATATATAGGTTTATATAATTTGGCTTGTGTACAGCGATGATTTTGTGGATTGTGATATTGTTGAATTTTTGTTTTCCGGGAGGAGTTTGGAGATGGGAATCGAGAGAGGAGTCGGGGAAGGAGTTGAGCAAAAGTATTCGAGAGAGTTACTGAAAAAGATGTTGCGAGAAACTCGCAGGAAAAGTCATCAAGAGAATGGCCGAGAGAGAAGTTGAAAGAATTGACAGAGGTGCCTAATAAGTGGTTCCTAGAGAGGCCAAGAGAGCAGTCACGAGAAGAACCGAAGGTGCCAGTAAATTTGTAGACTGCGCAACATGGACCCTCGGAGCAGATAATGAGTCCAACAGATCATCCCTGGGTAATCCGTCTGTGTGGATTTTTCAGAGTCCAGACGGGTGCCTTATAAACTATGTTGAGATTGTACACGGCTACGCACCAATTTATAGATAATCTGTGAAATATTTCTGCGGAGATACTTCAGATCTGGCCGGGTTACCCACGGATTATCCACAGACTATGCATGTCCATGCAGCAATCTGCAGACTGTCCATCCAATATTTCGGGATGATACCTAAAAAACCACGTTAGCACTTCTCACCAACATAGCAGTGAAAGCATTTCAGGACACAGCTCATTATCAATCAGCAATCCGATTCATTCTGAATCACAAGGATTGGTTCAAGCTCAAGCTCAAGCTCAAACAAATCAAACATACGTTTTAGCAATTTTGACGATGTAATGTCCCAATTATACAATTGAGATCGAAATCTTTCCAATCGATATGTTATCAAAGAGGTGCTATCTGAAAGGAAGAGTGTAGGTATACGAATTT